CAAATTCGGGAGAGATGTCAGGGAGATACTGGTTGATGAACCGATTGTAGAAGGCTTCGAGCCCCTGCTGCCCCGATTGATAAGAGTGGATGAAAAAGCGCCATCCCATGTCTCGTAGCTGCGGCGTCAAGGCATGCTCGCCTAAGACATTCTGCCAGAGGGCTTTCTCGATAGCCGCTGTGTTGTCGCCTGGACTTGAGATTGAGAGCACATAGGTGATGAGGTCAAGGCGACACCACAATGCACAGAGAACCGGAAACTTGGCCTCAGTCTTCGCTCTTGCAAGGAATTGAAGCAACTCTGCGACGCATCGATGGAACGGCACTCTTCCGTGGATGTCTTCTACTCTGATGGAAAATCCGGTCTGCTTAACGATGCTCGACAACGCCTGTACATAACCAGTCACGTTATGGGACAGCAATGCGATAGGAGCAGCGCAAAGCTCGAGAAGGCGAAGACTTTCCCGACTGTTGCGGGGAGAATGAATCTGCAGAAGCAGATGTGCAAAGCTGAGCAATAGTTGGTTTTGCCTAGCAGGTGGAATGTCTGAGCCTTCAATTTTGCCCAGCAATTGGATACAGGTGTAAGTCGTTTGGTATTCGCCATCAGTTGAGGTTCGCAGAAATTCTGTTACAATCTTCTGAAGAAGTCGCTCTGCCTCTTTTGAGAACTTGGACAGTGGGAGGGCTCGAAACTTGTTGCAGAAATATTCATTGGCGAAAGCTGACATGTAGGCTGGAAGAGTCTGGAGCACATTCATGGCGCTTTGTGCATCATCGGGTTGCTGAGTATGGAAGGACACAGTCCAGATCGTATCAGCATCGCGTTTAGTAAGCTTGCCCGTGACGGCCATGAACGCAAGGATGGTCGTAGTCCTGCCAATCAACGTGGCGTGCGATTGAGGTCCTAGAAGATAGCCTGTGATATCGTTGGCGAGGAAGAATTTGGCGGTGTAATCTTCCAGAAGCCGATGATAGCCTGCTTCGAACTTTCGCTTGTTCGTACGAATCTCCCAGGCTAAGGCGCCCATCTGTTCCGCTGCACGATTACGCAAGTCCACACTGCTGCTCCGAAGGAGGGCGTTGAGAAACTTCAAGGCGCATGCAATAGAGGCTGCCTCCAGCACATCATCTTTGATGGCAGAGAATGAGATGCCGTCGTCGACCGCGGCATCGTCTGGGGCAGAATTGGTGTTGTCCTCCTCTGGAGGCACAAGAAGTTCTCCTCGGGTGTTTTGATAGTTGGCGACATCCTCCATAGTCATCTCAAACACAGCCTTTGCAGAAAGGTGCTTCGCGAAGTACAAAGCACGTAGCATATCCACCAGAAACCCACGGAAGTTCTCAATGACGTGTTGCGAGCTCTCATCGAGGTGCTGCTTGGGCAAAGTATGAAGCGTCATAGTATAGACAAGGTCGAATAGCTTGGCTGATTTGTTGAAATAAGGCATGAGCCAGTTGCCAACGTTCTCCCGATCCACATATAGGACATGGTGACAGAGAGCCACGTAACCGTATACTGTGGCGAATGGCGATTTGATGTTTTCCGATCTAGAGGTGATGTGTTCCATGAGTGTGACGATGGCATCCATAGCACGACCCTGGAAACGCCCGATGGATCGCCTTTGTACAGACTTGACGCTGAAGTGATAAGCTGCTGACATTGGTTCCAGAAATTCTCTTGGGCGGGTGGTCATGTCCATAAAAGTATCGGCCCACAGGGGGAACAGTAGTGAGTGCTTTGGCGAATTGCTGGAGGTGGGAGAGCTTGTCGAATCTCTGCGAGCTTCACGCTGCTTCAGAATAGCTATCTCGGTGTATAGAAGCCTCTCGCCCATACATAGCAGATTGTCGAGTATGGCATGGAAGAAGTTCCAAGCGTTGCTTCCATCGAGTCCATTGTCAGAGCTGATTGAGCTNAAGATGAGTTAGGTAGTGTTCGAACAGGAGAAGAACACCGTCACTTACCAGCGTCCAATCAGTCCACGGAAGCAAGACAATATGTGGTTCCAGAATTCCGCATTGTCAGAATACAGATCGAAAATCGTTGACGATGATGTGTTGTGTTTCAGGGCAGCATCGAATGCTTCATTGGTTTCGCGCAGATGTCCATCAAGCCAGTTGATCAAGCAGATCATTCCTTCCACAGCAGGACCTTTGCATGATGTGAGCATGAGACAGAGGTCAAGTGATTGCGGGGACGTACCATTCTTGGTGTAGCAGTGTTCTGCAAACCTGGCGGCAGCACCCTCGGGAGTATCATTCTTATCGAAGAGAAACGGGAAGCTGTTGAGATGTACATCGACAGTTGTCTCGTCACCAGCCATGATGATAGTAATATCTGATGGCTCGGTTGACTGTTCTTGAGGAACTTCGAGGACAGTTGGGCTTCCAGTGGCCGATGTGTTTTGAGTGTCAGAGTCAGCGTTGGTTGGAGGTGGAGAGTCGGGCTCGTCGCTCAGACGAGGTCGCTTGCGTGAGTGAGAAGTGTCTGCATCGGCGACGTGGTCTCTGCCAGGAAGTGCTGAAGGTGAAAGCCTCTGGCCGGTGGAGTGCGCCGGTGAGGTAGGTGAAGGGTCCATAATCACCGAGTTATGAATACTGGCCACACGGCGTCATGGATTAGAGGTATAGATATGTTCCGATTGCTGGGTGGCTGCGAGACATGCAAAGCAGCATGAACCAAGCTCTGCGATAGTGAGTGAGTATCAGATTGACGTGGGCGACGTTGTGACACCCGGGCTGAAGAAGGCTCCAAGCAGCAAACGCCAAAAACGCAGTCTGGAAAGACGCGTGGAAATAAGCTCACTGTGTCCCAGATGGTGGGACGAAGGGACTTGCGAGTAGACAGCTCTTGACTGAGCGTGTCAGACAGTCTTCCTGTAGTGATCAAGACAGATATGTCTGGGTGTGTCCTTGATTTTGGATTCAACCTCAGTCTGCACTCGTCCAGCAGACGCGACTCTCGCAAAGTGGAAGTCGCAAAGCTCGGATATTACCTCATTGAGCCGCAGCCAGGCAAGTATAGGCGAAGCCTGCACGCACTCGGCTGTTCTTGCCATCCTAAGAAGAAAGTCGCTTGTTCTTCCAAACATCTATCGCAGTCGTCGTCTTCATCCGTCAATCAAGATATTCCGCAACATGGCCAGCACCAAGGCCAAGCCTGGAAGGCCCGTAATCAAGGCTGATACGTCTTTCAAAAGTCCATCAATGTTCGCAGTTCTTTGTTCATCATGTGCATGACAAGCAAGCTGATGCACAACAGACNCTGAGCTGAGCAAAGACAAGAGTGAAATCATCATCGGTCTTCTGAGCAAGTAAGACATGTAGAGTACACCATCTTTTTCCAGTCTTCCTCACACCAGCCNNAGTCTTTTGGAACCAGTTGGGAGACATCGAGCTGCGCATACTGCAAAATCCTCGGGCAAAAAGTTGAAGAAGCGCAAGCGCATGTCTGAGCAGAGTCCCAGCCTAGCTGTTGAACAACGCCCGATGGAGCCGGACATTCTGAAATATCTGACTGTTGGTCTGAACACGACGAGCCGCCATCTGGAAACCGAGGCTGCTTTGTCGAAACTTGGAGCAATGCCCACCACAGACAAGGAGATCAAACCAGCAGAGCAAACGACCAGAAAAAGTCTGGCTGTCGTGTTTCTCCCAAAGCCAAAGGACAACTTGGTGTATGCGCATTTGCCTCTGTTATGTTATACATCCTCAGCCACAAAGAAGGACAAGGCACAACACACTCGTCTGGTTCTCTTGGACCCTTCAAGTGAGCGTACAATCGCAACAGCAATGGGCCTCCCTCGGGCTGGTGTAGTTGGTGTCTTTGAGGATGCACCGGGTGCTGCACCTCTCTTGACATACGTACGGGAAAACGTGGATCCTGTTGAGGTCCCTTGGCTGGAGAAAGCACTTTCCGGTCAGTGGATGGGTATGAATGTCGAAACCCATGTACCTGGTCAAGCATGAAGGTCTCTGTCGTACGTCGAAGCAACAGATACAAACTCAAAAGACGTACGCATGAGATTGAGCGACGGTCTTCCTGAGATTCGGTCAGCGTGTCGTCACAAGTGGCGTAGCTGTCATTGAGAGGTGGTGCTATGTGGGAAACGTAGATCAGAAGATAACTTGGAGACAACGCTTTCTTCTTATCCCGGATCTCTGACACCACCACGAGTGGCAGTAACCAAGGCCACGGAGGCGTCAGACGATCCTAGCTTCTCGCATTCCCACATCTGCATGTCACTTGGCACACCACTACCTTGAGGCATCTCAGGACAACACAACATTACATCATGGCAGCCAGTTTGAGAATTGATATAAGCCGCTACCCTAGCGACGGCAGCTTTCTCAACCAGTCTTCAGGCGATGAATACGCCATGGCAGATGAGAGCCGCTTTCTAAGATGCTTGAGCGCTGCTGAGAACGCTACTCATGCCCTTGGTATGTAGACATCTATAGACCATACTACATACAGCTCCGTGTGCAGATGTCTGTCATACCGTGACTATAAAAATGTACGATACTTTGTGAAATTCAAACAACGTCCAGGGGGAGAGGGACCTTACTTGGAGTACCTCGCTCTGGGAACTTCTTAGAACCTGAGAACATGAAAAATCTGTGCATTTTTATGGTTCGAAACGTTGCAAGTATTGGTCGTGAGAGGTTGGATTCAGTATACGAGAAGGTAGCCTGAGGTCAGAATCAGTTTCTCTCACAGCGAACGATGACATGATCGTTGACTGTGGAAATACACGATCTTTCTTGAGGTTGCAGATATGTCTAAAGAGAGCTATCGAAATGATTGCCTCTCAGTGGATGTTGCTCTGGCTTTGAAAAGTATCGTGCATTCTTTTGGCTGCAAAAAGGAAGTCACGGTGCTGGAGAAGCGAGAGGTCAAAATGTGGGGAAATGCAACGAGCTTTGACCAATGGCGGGACTCTCGCGAACCCTCATGCGACAGTCAACTGGACAACTATTCCACACACACCCAACACAATGGCCGCAACATTAGCCTCGCTGCTGGGCCAAGCGTCCATCACCGACCACGACCAGGTCCTCAGTGCCTGCGAAGCCACTCTCTCCAAATCAAAGAACGACCTCCAGGCCCTCCAAGTCAAGATTGTCGCGCTACTGAACTTGGACCGCTTTCAGGATGCCATTGCGACTGTTGAGGCTGGGGGAGAGGACATCAAACAAAGAGCGCGATTGGGATATGCCTATGCGCTGTACAAAAATGGACAACCCGGAAAGGCTGCAGAGGTCGCCAGTCAAGACGGCAACGAGTCGGACAGGGGATTGAGACATGTTGAAGCGCAGGCTGTATGTCACTTGGAAGAGGAATGCTGGAAGAACAAGACGCAACTAACACACATGCAGAGTTACAGACACCAGGACTTTGACCGGGCCGCCGAGCTATACCGCAAGCTCTCGGCACAAAGAGGAGCAGTCGACAACGAAGACATGGATCTACGCATCAACACGGGCGCCACATATGCCCAACTCGAATGGGCTGGTCGCGCATCTGCAGACGCGCCGCAGAAGCCTGCAAGAGAAGACATGGAGGCCTTCGAGACTGCCTACAACGCTGCTTGCCAGAGCATTGCGCGTGACGAGCTGGGCCAGGCCGAGGTTCTGTTGAGAAGAGCAAAGGAACTGTGCGAAGCCTCTGAGATGGACCAGGAGGAGAAGGATGCCGAGATTGTGCCCATTTCCATCCAGCAACTCTACGTTTTGATCCGTCAGGGCAGAATGGAGGATGCACAGGCTCTTGCCGCAACCATTGACTCCAAAGAGTGTGTATTCTCCTCAAAGCATAATCATACTCCAGCGACTGACCTATTCGCAGTGNTCCACGCCTTCCACGACTCGTCGACGCAATTCGTCGCCCAGACAAACACAGCAGCCACTTCGACAGAAAGCAGCAACCCCTACCTCACCCACCGCTCCCTGTACAAGACTCCCTCGACCATCCTCCCCGACAAGCCTTTCGCCTACCAAAGCGCCGCCATCCAACGAAACAACTACACTCTCGACCTGCTCGCCCACAAGTACGATGGCATTATCAGGTCTACCACAAACCTCGCCCAAACACCCACCCTCGACTCTGCCACCATCTCTCTATCTGCCTTTGGCGCCGCTGCCCACGCCCATAACCAGGCCGGAAAGGAAGCTCTGAAGTCTGTTTTGCCCGTGCTGGAACGCAGACCCAACGACATTGGCCTGCTCCTCGTGTGCATGCAACTCTACATCCACGCCTCCAACCCCGCCGCCGCAATCTCGCTCCTCGAAAACTTCTTCACGCGACTGTCTTCTTCCTCGGATGCTTCGGCACAAGATGTTCGTTATGCGCCTGGTTTGATCGGTGTGCTTGTCTCCCTCTACACTTCGCGCGGTCAACACAGCCATGCCCGCTCCGAGCTCGCAAAAGCAGCAAAGTACTGGCGTCAACATTCCAACCCACCCATCTCTTCACGAGCACTCGGATACTTGTATAAATCCGCCGGTGCTGCATTGCTCGAGAGCTCTGTTCCTGTTGACCAGCAACTTGCCGCCGAACTCTTTACTTCCTTGCATGAGAAGGATGCTTCAGACCGCTATGCATCTGCCGGTCTCGTCGCCGCTCTCGCACGCGCAAACCCTTCAGCCATTGATGATGAGAAGTTGTCCGCTTTGACCCCAGTAGATCGTCTCGTCAGTGGCATCGACGTTTCAGCCCTCGAGACCGCTGGCGTAGCAAAGTCCACACCTACCATCGCCACCACATCAACAAAGCGCTCTGCACCTCCCGACTCTGTCCACGCCACAAAACCCAGAGCCAAGAAACTCAAGAAGAGCAAAACACCAAAGGACTTTGACCCGGCCAAGAAGATGGTGCCAGAGCGCTGGTTGCCCATCAAGGATAGGAGTTCATACAGACCCAAGGGTAAAAAGGGTAAAGCTAGGCAAGCAATGTTCATGCAAGGAGGTGCCGTGGCCGAAGACTCTGGCGCTGGTTCAGGAACTTCGACTCCTGCGACACAAGTTGTTGAAGGCAAGAATGCGGCCAAGAAGGGCAAGAAGAAGGGTAAAGGTGGTAAGTGGTAAGGATAGCTGAAGAAAAGCATGATAAGAGTACCTATTGTACAAAATAAAACGAAAGAATTTGCAACGCAATCACATTATCCTATTTCCTGGCTTCTTGCGCTTCTTTGCTCACGCTCTTGTCCGCTCCAGGGCGTCTTCTCGTTGTGATTCACGCATTCAGTCTTTCTCCGAACAAAGATTCGAAGCTGATGTGAGCAGGGCGTTTGACTACCGAATGGGCTCTGTCTTGTTTCATATTCAGGGCGAGTTCCTCTACACCAGTACTAGACTATGGCTGTGATATTCTTGATTATTTCATCTTCATTTCGAGCGGCGATTAATGGCATGCAAGTCCTCTGCATAAAGCGATGATGGCAAGAAGTAGATCAAGCAGGGTCACCCTGCATGCCAGTAATCTGTGAAACACACCTCGGCACATATGAGATCTACAAAGACCACCGAGCAACCCAGCAAGATCGACCAACTTGAACTTATTCCCCTTTGCACACCACTTCTCCCCCAAAAAAAGATAGCGGTTCTTTACACCCACCATGAGTCTACTAGATCTGCCACGCGAGATCCGCGACAACATATACACCCACCTCTTCACACCCTCGGCCAACAAACACACCACCAATGACGAAACCACCACAACCTACACCTACGCCCAGCACAACCTCTTCCTCTGCTCTCGCCAACTCTACCACGAAGCCCGCCGCATCTTCCTCGAACAAAACACTTTCGTAAAAATCACGACGCCGTTTCCGCAGTCGAGGGTGCAGGTTGCAGAGGATGGTGTGCCCATTGTCGTGGAGGCTGCCGAAGGGTTTACGCAACATAGATTGGGTGTGGTGATTACGTTGCCTGCTGCAGAGGTGGAGACGGTGGAAGACACGTTTGTGATACACATTGACGACTTGGAAACGTTTTGCGATAGTTGGTTGTTTTCGGCTGTGGAGGTCAAAGAGTTGAACCCGCATTTGGCGCTGCGACTTAGTTTGGAAGAGCCTTTGGCTGCAACACCTTTGGATGAGAGTACGGCTGTAGAGAAAAAGGTGTTGAGGACATTGCAGGAAAAGTTGCTGTATCCTTTTGGCCGCATCAAGCATCTGCTGAGCGTGGATATTGCTGGTACACCTCTACCTGACGATACGGTCATTGCCGAGATGAAGAGATTGATGGCTGTACCATTGGAATCTCCCGCCGAACGCCTTATCCTCGCCACCACACACAAAGACGCAGGTAACGTGGCTTTGAAAGCAGGTCAAGCCCTCTCAGCACTAGAACACTACCGCAAAGCCTGGAAAGCCCTCTTCATCGTCGTCAATGGCCGCCACCGCAAAACCCACTGCGAGCACTACTTTGAGATAATACTCAGCGAGCCACCGTTCGAGGGCCAACATGGCAGTATGGTGGCTATAGTGTTGAGAGTGCGGCTCGTGGCAAACACATTACTCGCATATCTAAATCTGCACGAGTGGGATACAGCAGTGCATATTGGGATGAGGACGATCAATATGATGAGAGGAGGAAGAGACAATCTAGAGCCTGACGAGGAGGCTTCTAATGGGTGGATTGCTGGGCCTGAGATGGGAAAGATTTATTATCGTACTGCATTGGCGTACAAGGAGATGGATGACAAGTACGAGGCGAGGAGGCTGTTGAAGGTTGCGGTCTTGTATCTACCGAGAGACACTAAAGTTCGCGAGTTGATAGCGGAATGTGCATTGAGGCTTGGGTAGGAAATAATGGAAGGAGACATGGTCACGGAGGGTAGATGATGAAGATGCAAAGATGAAACGGCAAACAGTGAGATAATGACACTACAGCCTTGATAGATGAACACAATGCTAGAGACACCACTGGAATTGTTAGAGTTCTAGCATTATAGCATGATGAATTGGTCGAGTTACGATACGCGTCTGCTTGTGGTGAAATTGAATGGTATGAGAAGGGGCGAGCAGTAGAATGTCTATCGGGATTGAAGCTTGGCTCCAGGGTCCGGCCCGAGTGCAGGAGTTCTGATACAAAACGTCCCGGGTTTCTTATGGGGCGCTAGAATTTCTCCGAGATGAGATGCACATGACTACAACCAGACAGGACGAGATAGCGACATAGAAGAGATGGAATGTGTTGGGAAGGTGACCAAGTCGACGGTAAGATAGAGATGGTGTGGTTCCAAGTACTGGGAGATGTGGTGAATGAGGAAGGAACAGCAACAAGTCAGAGCTTGGCAGACGCAAATAGCATGCGTTCTCGATCAAGTCTCGGCGGCAAGAAATCGGAGTCCGTAGAAACTTCGTGGATTGTTGCAGCTCAAGTCCCAACAGACGACTTGACCAGAAGTTGTCCGCTCCTNTCTCCCTCCCGACCCTCTTCTCCTCACAACNNCCTCCAGTCATGCTGTCCAGATTTGCGCCGAGGCCTCTTGCCTCGTCGGTCAGACGCGCTGCCTTCCAGCCCATCCGTGTCGCTCCTCAAGTGCTGAGAACCGTCACCACCGACGCCGCCAGCGCCCATGCCGAGAAGGCTGATGTCCCCAGCGTATGCTCTCCCTGTATCTCTGCAGCAACCAATTGAACAGAGCACTGACCTGTACACAGGNAGGACGACAAGGACTTCGAAGTCAAGCTCTCCGACGAGAGCTTCGAGACCTACGAGCTCGACNCCCCCTCATTCACCCTCAACACCACCAAGAAGGAGCTGAAGCAAATGTACTACGACATGGTCGCCATGCGCCGCATGGAGATGGCCGCCGACAGACTGTACAAGGAGAAGAAGATCCGCGGTTTCTGCCACTTGTCGACCGGTCAGGAGGCCGTCGCCGTTGGTATCGAGCACGGCATCACCAAGGAGGACTCGGTCATCACCGCCTACCGCTGCCACGGATTCGCCATGATGCGCGGCGCCTCGGTCAAGTCCATCATTGGCGAGCTGCTCGGCAGAAGAGAGGGTATCGCCTACGGAAAGGGTGGTTCCATGCACATGTTCACCAAGGGCTTCTACGGCGGTAACGGTATCGTCGGTGCTCAGGTCCCCGTCGGTGCCGGCCTCGCCTTTGCCGACCAGTACCAGGGCAAGAAGAACGTCTCCATCTCCCTCTACGGTGACGGTGCCTCCAACCAGGGTCAGGTCTTTGAGGCCTACAACATGGCCAAGCTGTGGAACCTCCCCGTCATCTTTGCTTGCGAGAGTGAGTTTTGCCTTTTTCATCTTCCAAACATTACAACTGACTAACATTCCCAAGACAACAAGTACGGTATGGGTACCGCCGCCAACCGCTCGTCTGCCATCACCGAGTACTACAAGCGTGGTCAGTACATCCCCGGTCTCAAGATCAACGGTATGGACGTCCTTGCCTGCAAGCAAGCCGTCGCATTCGGCAAGCAGTGGGCCGCCGAGGGCAACGGTCCCCTGGTCTTCGAGTTTGTTACCTACAGATACGGAGGTCACTCCATGTCCGATCCCGGTACCACCTACAGAGTACGCTTTCTCCTTCTCCCTCCTCTACCCTGTTCTTCCCAATACTGACATTCTAACCAACAGACCCGCGAGGAGATCCAGCGCATGCGCAGCACCCAGGACCCCATCGCCGGCCTCAAGCAAAAGATCCTCGACTGGGAGGTCGCCTCCGAGTCGGAGCTCAAGAGCATCGACAAGCAAGCCCGCGAGAGCGTCGACGCCGAGGTCAAGGAGGCCGAGGCCATGCCCGCCCCCGACGCCACCCCCAAGATTCTGTTCGAGGACATTTACGTCCGCGGCTCCGAGCCCGAGTACCTTCGCGGCCGCATCCCCGAGGAGAACTTTTACTACGAGAAGAACTAAGCGTCCCTTGTAGATTGAGGTTCCAAGTGGAGTAGAGTTAGGGAGTGTGTAATTTATTCAGGCAGCAGAGACAGGAGGGAGTAAAAGGGCGGGATTGATGCATATGCAGGAGGAGGTGAGGGATTGTTGCTGCCTTTTCAAGTCACTTTTCCTCATCGTTTTTCCTTGTTTTTTCTTTGAACCCCAAAGCCATCTCAAATACCATGGAAGCAATTTTCGTTTTTTTTCTTGTTCAAACTTCATCTCTTTCACCATTGCTACTGCTATATGCATTTTCAGTCGACCATCAAAAGGCAGTAATGGTTGTTCTGTGCTCTCATCCGATGCTAGAACGAGAATTGGAAATGACCAGACTTTCGTGTAGAGTAACACTGATGACTCTTTCCGTACACCCTTTCATCACCTAGCTCCTTTCCACACAGAATGACCGCCAATCAGTATTTACTGCAAAGCATTGTAAGAGCCTTGTCCTTTTTGGCACAAACCACTAGAGTTGCATACTGTTGCTGTTTAGAGCATCACTTGGAGATAAAGCCGTCGTTTTGCTAAATGGACATGTAGATCTAGAAGTATACTCATGACTGTTGTTGATGTTGTGGAGAAACAAAGGGACGTGGTACATTGCCATCTTTAGACTTCGTTTGCTTTTTTTGGTACAAAGACAAAGTAGAGATGTATCCCTTGCAAAATACAGATGGAAAACCGGGCAGTAAGTAGGTAACATGCAGAAGAACGAACAATGACATGCAATAGCAGAGCAGATATCTGGGCAAAAGCTCTCTTCCAATATACCTCTCTCTCTCTCTCTAGCCCAGATATAAAAGCACAAGAACAACAAACCCCCTTTGCCCAGCAGAGACATGGCTAAAGAAGAATCCAAAAGGCAAAACAAGAAATATACCTAAAAAGCCCACAAGGCAAAACAGCCAAACCCCTTCACCATTCTCATAGCTATAGGCATCAAAGCAATTAAACCACGACAAGCCATGGAAAATATACCAACATTAACATTAACAAAAAGCACATGTTCAAAGATAAAAAAAAAGCTAGCAACCCAAGAAAGAAAAAAAACACAAAAGCGAAAACCTTCAAACTCAAGGACGTAGAAAGTCGGGTGTCAATCCACAAAACTTGGAGGTAGAGAGATGGGGCGTGACTTTTCAATCGAGCACCATGAAGGTTTTCCCAGTCAAAGATGCCTTGGAGAGCAGAGATGAGGGATCGTAGAGGGCAGTTCCCATCAAAAGACTTGATTGTTATCCAAGGATCATGCAATTGTAGAGTAGGTCAAAGAGTCATGTATATATCCTTTGCTTATTCAGATGCCTTGCTCTCAATGGATACCGAAAACCCAGGTTCTGCAATCATCCATAGATGTGTTTCCCAAAGGTGGGTGGCCCCCTCTTTTGCAGGGGATATAAAAGTAACATTCCCATCGTAGAAAAACCCCTACAACTGAATTGCAAAAGTAAAGAGCATGGATAAAGAGAGGTAAGGAATCCATCTATTCTCGTTTTCGTGGAAAAGACTTTGTGGTAATACCAGTCTTCAAAAACATCACTTGCCTTTGATGCTTGATGTCTACTGCCCAAGTACTCAAAACCTACAGACTAAATCGTTGGAAACACACACAAGTAGTCATGGGAACATGAGTGTAGAAAACATGAATTTACAAATCAATACAGTTTCTCTCTACAAGTCTATACACAAAACAGACCACACCCCCTTCAAATTACACATGAGCTTTCGTACGAACAGGGAGAAAGAAAAAAAGTATCATTAGAATATTAAACAACAGACGTTTTGTTTTTGTTGCTCTTCAGAAAGCACACAAATGCCTTTTGATCCGTTTACAGAGCAAGCGCACCGAGAGCCAAAAGACCGTAGGGGATAGCAGAAGCCATGGCACCACTGGTAGAGGTAGGGGCGGCAGAGCTCGAGCTGCTGGCCTTGGAAGCACTGCTAGAAGCAGACTTGGAAGCGCTGGAAGCAGCAGAAGAAGCAGACGACGAAGCCGAGCCCGAAGCCGAAGAGGCAGACTTGGACGCGCTGGAGGCGGACGACGAAGCAGAGGCAGAGGCAGAGCTGCTGGCCTTGGAGGCCGACGAGTTGGCGCTGGAAATGCCGGATGAAGCGGCCGACGAGGCAGAGGCCGATTGGCTGATGTATGAGGTCGACGAGGCGACGGTGTTTGTGCTGTCAATGACGAATTGAGGTGTGTAGTTGACCTTGGAGGTGTCCTGGTCGTCGACAATCTCGAGAGCGTAGTCGGAGCCACGGGTGATGTCGCTGGGGACGGACCAGCTGTATGTGCCAGAGTTGGAAAGGCCCTCTGCAGATTGTACGTTAGCTTTTTGCTCCTTGATTGATGATGTTCAGACGGAAGGTACTCACGAGCAACGTAGACTCCAGGGGTCAGGTTGTTGCTGGCGCCAGAGCGGAGGATGATGGAGACGGTACCACTGGTGGTAGGGTTCCACTTAACATCAAAGGTCTTTCCAGCAGTGATACCGGTGTAGTCAGAGTTGATGAAGTTGTTGTCAGCGGCAAGAGCCAGCAGAGGAGAGGCCAAAAGGGCAATGAGGGTCTGGGTAGAGAAGCGCATCTTGATGTGTGTGATGTATGTAGTCTTTGGAAGAGTGATGTTTCAAGAGAATGGTATGCGAGCAGAAGAAGATGGAGAAGTTGTAAGAACGAGTTGGAAAGAGGAGGAAAAGGGACCACGGTACGGTAGAGCCAGCCTCATTTCTATTTAAAATGACGGTGTTTCCGTCATCTCATGGAGTTCAGAAGCTAATAGGGAGGCAGCAGGGCAGAGGCAGGCGAACAACCCACACCAGCTAAACATGGCGCCGTTTGATACAACGATAGCGCGCGGAGGCTCCCAAAAAGCCTCCTTATTACCATACCACCCACGCGCTAGTCGAGCTTGCCCAGGCTTACCTCTTTGTAGTTGTCGTTTGTCCCTTTTTCCCTTTTCTAACCCACATGGTTGCGTTGCCACGGCGGTTGTCAAAACTCAATACCCTTTTGACTTGCCTCGCCACGCCTGATCAACATGAACGTACCTTTCTCGTTGCTCGTAGAGCGTAAAAGTCGCGACAGGCCAGCAAATAGAGAGAGGCAAGCGAGATTTCGCCCAGCCGAGGCCAGACACGAAATTGTGCAATTGATCTGATGTTCGATGACTTTCCGTGGGGAAAACAAAACGATCGCCAGCCGCCGCTCGAGTCGAAACCGTTGCAAGCGTGTTTGGGACAAGGACAAACCATGAAAAAAGACCCCTGGTTGCTTAGCATGACATGGAGCCGCAAACAACACTTCCCTCTCACTGCATACCTGACTCTCCATCAGCGGCGATTGATTCTTGATGCTGCTGCATGTACTTCAGCTCGAGCAGCTCCACACAGCAGTAAGCGCAGACAACATCATCGGCTAAAGGCAGGAAGGAAAGGCCGAACTGATTCATGTGGTTGCATCTGGGCCAAGAAGAGAGATGCACTGACCTCTTCGGGCCGGCTGCTGCAGGAACAACGCTGGAAATAGAGTGCTGGGGCCAATCTTACTTCTGCTCGTTCGCACAAGCGCGGGACGAAGACTTGTTCACGTGCAGCACTTTGATGCAGGTCTGAATCCTTCGACACATTTGGTACTGAAGCCGATTGCTGGATGTGCTATTGCCACTTTTCGAGATACAGCTGCAATGTGAATTTGCATGACCTTCGTCTTCTCCATCACGAGCAAGTTCGAGCCATGTCAGGGAGATTCAATGTATGAGAATATTCGTCACATCACCATGGAATCTGAGATTGGTTATCCCTATATGGGATATTGTCAGTGATCAGTGAAAGTGGTCCTGTCTGTAAGAGAGGTGCCGCCACTGCGAGAAGGCTTTGTTTAAGTAGCTTCATGGTGGCGTCTCTTTCTGGGAGACGACTGTGTATTTTTATAGCTTATTATAACGCATTAGTTCGTGTGGGAGAGGGCTGAGGGGTCTTTCTTACGGTTGCGAGTGCAAACAGGGCAGGAAGAAAGATGGTGAGGAAAACGGGCACACATGAGATGTTTTCAAAGAATGGTAGGCATTAGACATTCGTACGTAAGGCGCTTTCCTTTACCCCGATCCCATATCATTGTTACCAGGACCCCAGAGAGAAGAAGCTCCTGAGTGTATTCACTGGAAAAAGAAGACTGCAGCAACACCAAACAGTGCGAAGACAGGAGTGCTGGCCTGGACCATAGTTGCTGCGGCGCCAGTACTGGAAGCGCTTGCTGCAGTCGAGGCCGATGAGCTACGAGCTGATGTTCCTGAGCTCGAAGTCACGACTGAAGTGACGGTGCTTCTCGATCCGCTCGACGGGGAAGAAGTCAGAGTTGGCGAAACGATTGTCGTGTTACGAACCACGGGTGAACCAGTTCCGACGCTGGGTGCCACAACGACAGCAGTAGTGTTGGCAGGGGGTGTAGGAGGCGAGGTCTGGATGGACACAACAGCAGTCAGGTTGGTCAGCGAAGAGTTGAAGCTGGCAATGACAGATTCGATGCTCGAGACGGCAGAGCGGGTCAACGACGATGCGGCGGCTTGGGATGACGAGCTTGCTGACTTTGCGGAAGAAACAGCGGCGGGGTTACCACCAGTGAGGGTAATCAATCCAGAGTAGTTGATCTCATAGCCTTGGGAAATCTGGAGAGCGTAATTGCTTGCGTTGTCGAGAGACCTGTCGGGGATCCAAGTGTAGCTACCATTCAGAGCGTTGTCTGCGGGACATCAGCACAGGTGGTAAGTGTCATATTATCGCTAATGAAAGACTTACTGGTCAGGGTAGAGACATCGGCCAGATTGGAAGGATCGCCTTTTCTCAGCACGATAGTTGCAGGCTTGTTCTTGTTAGCATACGCTCCAACGATTGCCATATGGTACCTTTCTCACCTGGTTTAGGTTTTGCGCTGTGTACTGGATGGTGACTGGCTGGCCTGCAATGACTTGGGTAGGTGTCTTGGTAAATGCCAGGCGTGGAGCCTGAGCAACGACGAGGCTTGCCAGTGCAAAGGTACCAACGAAGACAGACTTGAGGAAGCGCATGGTGGCTATGGGCTGCTCTTGATGAGATGAATAGGATCAAAGTTTAGATGGTGAACAATAGAGAATACGCAGGCGATCTGAAAAGGAGTTGGCTCGAGGTGCGTTAAAGTAGAAGACACACGTGTCAAGAATTGTTTATGGACGAGCTGGACTTGGAAGATCAGGGAAAGAGCAATGGAAGCACTTGCCTGTTATATGGACTTTGTTGCGATGTTTACAGGCAGCACTCATCCTTATGAACACCTCGCGATCGACCAAGCAACGAACCTATCACTTCACGAGCTGCACTATCGATTTGCCAACCACCCTGCATATAATCACGCGATCTCGAGAAGAAACTGCATACATTGCAGCAAGGATGGTTTTGACCTGCGCCGTGGCTCGAAAGTGCGTAGAAACAACTCTGCAAACGGAAGCCACCTCGTCGAAAAAAAGCAATATCAAGTCGTACAGTTTCATGTTTCGACTAACATTGTGTCACGTACGGGAAAGGCTGCAGGGTCTGAGGGGATGCGGAGATTGCAAAGAAGAGAGATGCAGCCAAGCTCGGCTGTTCAGCCTGTCATGTTGCTCATATGGGCAAGAGACAAGTGGCTCTTAGTAGATTTTCTGCACGTCGAAATACGAGATGGGGTACAGAATCATCGACCATCGGTTCCTTCTCGTGATCTGTCAAGTCTCGAGATGAGTCGCTTGACACCGAACCAATCTTCACCCTTGTTGTTTCCCTCGAGTCCACCGAGATCATTGCCTACTTCGAAGACAGTTGCGATGCCATCAAGACCACCCACAGCGACCCGCTTGCCTTCGTTGTGCTCCCAAGCAAGCCTATTCAAGCTCTTTACACCAAATACATCGCCTTGCGTGTGGCTCGGCTGAGCACGTGCAACAGGCACTTCAACATCAACGTTGATATCAAAGACTTCTAGCCTTCCTGCACCGTCAACACAACCAAAGACACCGGGCTTCGTAGGTGACCATTTGACATCGTAAATGACGTCCTCACGCATGATGTCTAGCAGAGGTCTCTCGGGCGTTCCGGGAGCTGCGCCTACTCCAGCTGTGGTGACGGCTGTGCTCGGAGGCTTCACACGCCAGATCTTGACACTCCAATCCAGAGAAGAACTGATGGCCAGATCGCCGAGATCGATCTTTCCTTTACTAGGATGGAAGTCAAGCCCAGTCACAGGTGCGGCATGGCCAGTGTAGTATACGCGTGGATCCACTCCAGCCTTCGCGCCTGCACGGTCGTATCTGTGAACTGGCACGATAGCTCCGTCTTCAGTGCCGGCCAGGAAATATGTAGGGTCTGCTTTGGGGAAACTGATACACGAAGGAGCAATGTCCTCTGTACGGTTGCGCCCTGTAGGCGAGATGAGCTCGAGATATTCTTGCGGCTTTGATAACATGTCAAATGACCAGGCGCATGTCGTGCCGTCTGTACTGACACTGACAATGCTGCTGGCATTCTGTGTGCCGACCACGGCGACACTGTAGATAGGGTGGGCATGGCCTCCTTTTTCGCCAGCCAGGGGTGTGCGTTGCACCGGTGCTCCGTCATGTGAGCGCTGGCGAATATCCCAGAGGCAGACTTGGCCCGAGTATGTACCACCTAATACGAGGCTAGGATGGTAGGGTGAGAAGCGAGCAGTTAGGATATCGCTCGTCGCGGTGAATACGTATTCTGGTTGAGATGGCATATGTGCGTTCCAGACCAGAGCCAAGCCAGGAGCGCTTTGTGAAGAGTTGGAAGCTTTTGTGTATGAGGCCAGCAATAGTTCAGGGTACTTTACAGAGTAGTCGAGGTCACTGATCATGCGGCGTTTGGTCCAGCGGTCGTCTTGGAATTGCATCAACTCGCGCACACGACGGCCTCTGGTGGTTCGTGTTTGACCATCCTCTTCGTCGTCATCCAAGCCATTCGCACCACGCATTGCATAGTCGGCGAGCACATCGTACTCTTCGTCCAATGCTCGCTCAATGACCTTTGTGGAGCGGTCGATGAAGTCCAGAAAGTCGTCGGAAGCAGTGACAGCGCCCAGTTCTTCGTGAGTCAAGGTGCGTGCAGGGAAGTTCTGCTTGCCGTTTGTGGATGCAGCATCTTCCGACAGCTTGAGAGCCTGCAGTTCGTCCTCGATCTCCTTGCGAATGTTCTGCCTCAGCTCTTCGTCTCTTTCGCGCTCTCTTCTGCTCAAGCGTTTCCTCGTCCTTGAAGGAGAGTAGCTTGACTCGTCATCTGAAGGCTGGCGATTGTGCTGGGGTGACCAGGGCTCGCTGGTTTGTACGCCCTTGCTGTATGTGATGACATCTGGCTTGGGGTCCGAAGGCTGATTGAGGACTGTTGAGACGGTGGTAAAGGAGAGGGTCTGGTGGGAGACGGAAAGAGGAGCGGGAGTCGAAGCAGCGGATGGAGTGTCGAGCGAGATGGAGTTGGGACGGCTCGCGCCGACGTTGGCAGAGGTGGTGGGAGAATCCTGGTCGCGAGGGGTGGAACGGCCAGGGCGGTCGACAAGAGTGGAGATGAGCTGGTCGAGGTCTGCGCGGCTGTTAGCACGCGAGGGCGAGGGAGAGATGAGNCTAGTCTGGTCAGTGGTGGACGTACCTTGATGTGCCCGTCTTCAACGTACCTCTGCAGCGTCTCCACTCTCGCGGGCTGACGTGAACTCCTTTTGGCGCAGAGCACGCTGCCTCTTGAGCTCGGCGAGTTTTGCGCGCTTGGCCAAGATCTCCTGCTTGCGAGCCTCCAGGGACGTGGACGAAGAAGACATGGGTGGGTGTGATTAGGCGGTGAATTGTTTATGTGTGTCCAGGAGGTATATCGGAGTTGGCAAGAAGATGCGACAGACCAGCTGGGCGCAGGACAGCGGAAGCCTGGCACGACGAGTCCAGGGAGCGGGAGAGGAAACAAGCAGCGAGCGCGAGTTGAAGTCAATGACGGATGTTTGTGATTGTTGTGCTGGGCGGGACTGACTTGGTATGGATCGGGGGACGGAAGAAACCGCTTGGCTGGCCGGCGGGCGTGAGCGAACGTCGGCCAGCAGCTTTGAGCAGCAGCGACAGCGTCGACGCGAAAGACTCCAATTGCCCGTGCTCTACCTGTCACCCTCGCCGTCCCGGTCTCCAGCAGCATCCTCCCCATCTCGTCCACCTCACATCAATCCCGCACAATGTCCTCGTCCGGTGTCAACGTACGCGCGCCCGCGTCCCAACTTCTTTTCTCTCCGTGCTCCGCATGCTGATGCATAGTCTCGCAGGTCCTCCGCTGGTCAGCCCTTGGCCTCGGTGTCGCATACGGTTTCTACCACCAACAGACCATCAACGCTGCCGACAAGCTCCGCGAGAACCACAAGGAGTACGAGCGCAAGCAGTCTCTCATCAACCAGGCCCGTCAAGAGTACCAGAGAAAGACTGCTCCCGCATCCAAGTCTGGTGGTATGTCGCCGTCTACCCTTGTCCAGTCTCTGTCCACCCGCTCACGCTCCCATGCAGCCGTCACCGACCCCAGCGACCCCAAGTTCGACCTGGAATCTTGGCTCAAGTCGGTCCAATAGACGATTCACCCGCTATATTCTCTCCCATAGACCCGGCCATATCTCCCATCCACGAGCACACGAGGAGGATGCCTGTTTTTTAATTCGACACCCAAAATGCCATCTCACTTATGCCCCCGATCCGACATGATTACCTCCACACGTGCCGTCCGACTCATCGACACCCGACTCCAGTCAGAAAGAAGAAACAGTCAATTCTCAGTCACGCAATCTCCTCCGTATCGTCAATGCCGGGTTCTTCGTCGTTCGTGTCGAACCATCACGCCAATGGTCTCTATATCTTGTCTCCCTACTCCTTTGTTCTCCCCATGTGTATTTACTCTGTAAAAAAAAATAGGCTGCGCTTATGCTGCCTGCAGCTATCTTAGCGAGTATAGACGACGGTTTCTGTTTCTCTATCTTGACACTTCCTCTCCGTGTGCTAAAGACAGTCACAGTCTAGTTGTGGATGTGCACAATACTATTTGTAAAGGAGCGAGATTCACGAAGAAAAGATTATTCTTGGACATCTCAATAGCCACATCTCCGACTTCACAATTGACTGCATTTTTATAGCATACTTTGGCACTATACATCAGTGTGGGAGAAGGGCGCCAAACTGTCACTTAGTTGGTCCCAAGGAAGGCGCGTTCCATCACATTCAAGACAAGAGCATATGCAAGAACCCCTCATCTTTCCTTCTCAGCCAGTTCTTTTATCGAACTTCATCAACCTTGCATACATCCACTTCCAAGCACATTTACCAATCTTCTTGCTTCCAATCCATCAACACACTTGCATCACATCCCACACTCCATCTCAGCTTCAGCATGATTTCTCTTATTCTCCTGCAGCTAGTCCTGACTATCAGCTACACCGTCTCGAGTCCCATCCTGAGACGGGCTCTTTCCCAGAACGACATCATCGGCTTGCAACTCGCGAGCTACCTCGGGAACATGGAGCTACGTCTGTACACGGATGGCTGTGAGCGTATCAATGAAGCGCAATGGCTTGCCGCTGGTTTCCCATCCACCTTCCAGCAGGACATCTGTGCTATTGCAGAAGTGAGTTTACATCTACAGTGTGTTGCTTCATGCCTGACATGGCACTCTAGCNAACAACAGAACCAGACAGACTACCTCTCGTCGACACTCGAATCCAATGGCATCTCTACTCCTCAACCATGCAACTATGCCCTCTCATACGACACCCCCGAGGACTTCGTTCTTCTCGCAAACCAGATCACCACCATCAGTCTCGGGTACTATCTAGGAAGCCTTGACAACTTTTCTACAGAGCTTCAAACGGTGGCTGCTCAAGTCTTGTCAAGTGAAGCACGTCACGATGCCATTGTCAGGAACGGAATGGGAGCAACTCCATTTCCCAACACTGATGTGCCCTTGAGCTCGGTCTGGGCATTCAACCTGGCACAAAAGTACATTACCTCCTGCCCTCAGCAATTACCCATTGATCTTCTCCCACCGCTTACCTTCAACGGAATGTCGGGCCACACTCTCGATTTCAACTGGAGTCCCGATTCCAACAACTTCTCGACACATGCAGGAAACCCCGGTCAAGATCTCTACCTCGCCATCGTTCATGCCAATGTCAGTGATCCGATATACCAGCAAGTGCAAACGACAGGACAAGGCCATGGCACAGCGGAACTACCCGAGGGACTTGGTGGAGCCGTGTATGCTGCACTCACTGCTTCCCATGGGGATTTGACCTACCACGAACTTACAACAACTGGCACTTTGGCAGGACCGGCGCAGCTTGTTCTCTCATGAATAGGCTTGCGTCTGATAACAGGGCGATCATTCGTCGAGGGAGTGAACATCGCTGGAGGTTTATCAGGCCAGAATCTGTTTGATCCAGGGGTTTATGGCAGACAGTGTAGTCAGGGGTAGTCAGGCTGGGTGCAATTGTTGGCTTGTATGATAGAACGCGGCACTTGTGAATGACCGAATTGATCAAAGTCGGCTCAGATCGTTACTCGACTCCTCGAAGGCAGATACGACTGTAAAATGCAGCACATGTGAATGACAAAATACGACCATCAATGTTCATGGAATTTGTTAGCGTGGTGGTCGAGGAAGAAGTCGATTGACTCGGTTCAGGTTGCTTCTACTCAGGACGCCAAGGCCGGTGACGAAGGGTTTGGTCGGGTGGAAAGTTGGACTTGGTTTGGCTTCTGAACAACGGCCAGAGTCGCAAAACAGCTACGCATCAGCCCCTCGACGCTGAACTATCGCTTTCCTGAACAATTTGCTCATCTATACGCCCTCCAGCTGGATATCTTTTGTCTGCGTCTTAGCTCCGGACGTCGAACAAGTCTTGCAGGACGGCATCCAACACACGACTCGGCTGGTCTTGAAGCTTTCTCTCCACCTCGAAGGCCACCTCGTCTAGGACAACATAGACCAACACACCCATCATGGCTTCACTCGGTGAGAACCTGCTCGGGATCGTGAACCGCCTCCAGGATCTCGTCTTTAACACCATCGGAAATGACTCGCTGGACTTGCCCCAGATTGTATGCACCCTGCGCCAAACCTCGGTGTGCCAAGCTGACAGGTACAGGNTCGTTGTAGGTTCGCAATCCTCAGGAAAGTCGTCGGTCCTGGAAAACATTGTCGGTCGCGACTTTCTGCCCAGAGGAAGCGGCATCGTCACTCGCAGACCTCTTATCCTCCAACTCATCAACGTCCCCAGCAATGCCGACAGACCTGAAGGCGATGAGATCCACGTGCCACACACCCCGGCCTCTGTCGCTGGTCAAGATGAATGGGCAGAGTTCAACCACATCCCCAGCCGTCGCTTCTACGATTTCGGCGAGGTCAAGAGGGAGATTGAGAACGAGACGGCCAGAATTGCTGGAAACAACAAGGGCATCAACCGCCAGCCCATCAACCTCAAGATCTACTCGCCCCACGTTCTTAGTCTGACATTGGTCGATCTGCCCGGTCTCACAAAGGTCCGTCCTGTTGCGCCTCTTTTGGGAGATTTTAGCTGATTTCGAGTGTAGGTTCCCATCGGCGACCAACCCGGCGATATCGAGAGACAGACACGCAACCTGATTACAGAGTACATCGCAAAGCCCAACAGTATCATTCTTGCTGTTTCTCCCGCAAACGTCGATCTGGTCAACTCCGAGGCCCTCAAGCTGGCCCGCCATGTCGACCCTATGGGAAGACGTACTATTGGTGTCCTGACAAAGATCGATCTGATGGATCACGGAACAAACGCCATGGACATTCTTTCTGGTCGCGTCTACCCTTTGAAGCTGGGCTTCATCGGAGTCGTCAACCGCTCGCAGCAAGATATTCAGGGCAACAAGTCGCTGGCTGATGCCCTCTCTGCCGAGAGAGACTTTTTCCGCACACATCCCGCCTACCGCAACATGGCCACGCGTTGTGGTACCCAGTACCTCGCAAAGAGCCTCAACACTACCTTGATGGGTCACATCCGTGAGCGCTTGCCCGATATCAAGGCTCGTTTGAACACTCTCATGGGCCAGACTCAACAAGAACTGGCCAGCTACGGAGACGCCGCCTTTGCTGGCAAGGAACACCGCGGCTCGCTGGTCTTGCAGCTCATGACCCGCTTCGCTACTTCCTTCACCTCCTCCATCGACGGTACATCTTCTGAGATTTCGACCAAGGAGCTTTGCGGTGGTGCCAGGATCTACTACATCTTCAACTCTGTTTTCGGCAACTCCTTGGAAACCATTGACCCGACGACCAACCTCTCTGTCCTCGACATTCGTACTGCCATCCGTAACTCGACCGGTCCTCGTCCCAGCCTATTCGTCCCCGAACTCGCCTTCGACCTCCTTGTGAAGCCTCAGATCAAGCTGCTCGAGATTCCTAGTCAGCGCTGTGTTGAATTGGTTTACGAGGAGTTGATCAAGATCTGTCACAGCTGCGGCTCATACGAGTTGTCGAGATATCCTCGCCTACAAGCCAAGCTGATCGAAGTTGTTTCGGATCTGCTCAGAGAAAGACTCGGTCCTTGCTCACACTATGTCGAGTCGCTCATCTCCATCCAGCGCGCATACATCAATACCAACCATCCCAACTTCCTAGGCGCAGCAGCTGCCATGAACTCTGTCATTAACGACAAGCAAGAAAAGGAAAAGGCTCTGATGGCCGCAGAAGAGAAACGAAAGAAGGAGGAGAAGCGCATGAAGGCTCTCAATGGCGCTAATGGTGCTGGCGAGCTCGATGACGATCAAGAAAATGAGGCCGCTGCTGGCGGTAAGGCGGCGACCCTCCCCATCCGCAGCCACCTCAGCAAGGCCAGTCGTAGTATGTCACCTGCTGTCGGCCGCGCTGGTATGACTGGCACAAACGGCACAAGATCAGGCTCACCGCCAAGATTCGGAGGAGCTTCAGGCACTGCTAAGGACAGTTTCCTCAACTACTTCTTCGGCAAGGACGGTGGTCTACCGCCATCAAACGGTCTTCCAGGAAACCACATGTCATCTTCAAACCTCCCTTCTGGCAGCAGACATGTTAGCGCGAATATCGAACCCAGTTTCGCAGGTAGCATCCGCAGAGGCGATACCAGACTTCCCGAGCGACCTATGTCATCGCATATTCCCATCCCTGGCGAGTACGAATCAGAAGAAGCTGACAACGGCTACGTAAGTTCATCCTTCCTCATCTTGCAGCGCATGACTAACATCTGTATACAGCCGCTAGCAGATGAAGGCCCAGCGCTCACCGAGCGGGAAGCTCTCGAAACCGAATTGATTCGCCGTCTGATATCATCATACTTCAACATCGTACGAGAGACCATTGCCGATCAAGTCCCCAAAGCCGTCATGCACCTGCTCGTCAACCACTCCAAGGACGTTGTGCAGAACAGACTGGTCAGCGAACTGTACAAGGAGGAACTGTTTGGAGAACTCTTGTACGAAGACGACGCCATCAAGAGCGAGCGCGAAAAGTGCGAGAAGTTGCTTTCGACCTACAAGGAGGCTGCCAAGATTATCGGAGAGGTTTTGTAGGAATGGGAGATGTACAACAAAAATTGATGGAGGTTTTATCACGAGAAGACGTTTATTGGTTTCTACTTATCAGGACTTTCTTAAAGATGGGCATGTCTTGTCTTATTTCGTCCACTCAATTCTTTATCTTTTTGAGTCTTTCTCCTGTTCGTCGTTCCTTCCTCTCCTTATTTTCTTGGCCTGTTGTTCAATGTAACTGTAGATGTACAACAGGGGTTCAACGCTTCTGTGGTATCGAGGATGACCCTGTTCGGGCTTTTTGTGCAATATGAAATACTTGTACAAGTATAGTACAGCACGTATGATGCTTCGGTATTTTCTGTGCAAAGTAAATATCTGCCTTGTAGCCTTTCTACAGTCCTTGCCTCATCGGAGCATCGGAACGAGCAGGCAAACCCAAGATTAAAGACCCTTGTTGACTTTGACTTGAACGAGAAAAAAAGAGCTTCCCCACATTTTTGGACATAGGCAACCTGTGACAGGACCCCTCCAGGGCAGTGACAAGGTGGCGAGCGACGACATCTCATTGATCTTTGTTTCTTTGAGCTTCTCTGCATGCGCTTGCCGCCTGTTCCCTTTTGCCTTGCGCACAAGACAAGGCAGGAGACGGATTGAGACAGCGTCATGAGTCGAGAAAGCAGCAAACACCTTACGTCTTGCGCTGTTAGGCAGACAAGAGAGACAGGATTCAGGGCGCCCGGTGAGTAGGATAGTATAGAAGAGCTGCCGCGCGCGCGGTGTCCTGAATAATGATGCTCCTTCACACTTCAATTCCCTCCTTTCTCCACTGCGAACCAGATCTATTTGTTCCGGGTTTGCCTTTGATCATTTCCGACGACCGCTTGGCTTTCTCTTGACTTTTCAGCGGGACAGTCTGGACGTTAAGGACGGCGCTTTGGCCCTTCACTTTTGTCTCTTATCACTCGTTGCTTTTCACTGTTATCTTTCACCTTCACTCACACCTCGCGACCTACGCTCCCTTGCCGCGACTCCGAATCTCCAACCACTCACCTCTCAACAACCCACGCACCCACAACAACAACAACCTTCAAGATTCCCTTCCTACACTCTCCCGACGGCCCACACTCGGCCGACTACATGGCACCAAGCGCAATCGAAGTCGAAGAAATCAACGAGCTTGCTCACACGATCAACGATCCGCCCGTCGAACACAACCTCGAGGAACACGTTGCCTTTGGCGGAGACGACCAATGGTTCTACCACATCCCCTCTAAGCGCTTCGACCTCTCTCGTGGCTCCAAGCGCAAGCTCATCATCGACGCCGACGATGGAATCCGCAACCACCGGTATTGACGCACCGCCCTAGAGTCCTCCATCCCGCCACCCTTCTCGGACAACACCGCTAACTCGCTCTTCTTCCNNAGAGGCTGTGCAATCGACCCATCCTCCACTGTCCTTGTCATAATTGACATGCAAAACTTCTTCGTCCACCCCATGTACCACGACCACAGCAGTGGTATCGCTACCATCGACCCTCTCCTGAAGGTCATCGACAAGTGCAAGGGCCTCGGAATCCAGCGCTGCTGGCTGAACTGGGGAATCTCCGACTACGACCTCAAGGTCATGCCCGCAGCTGTTACCAGAGGTTTCAACAGAAACTTGGCTCAGGACAAGGGCCACGGCTGGCACGTCGGCTTGGGCGCCAACGTCAAGGATGACAAGGGCAACACTGAGCGCTGCCTTTTCAGCGGCACCTGGAACGCCGACATCTACGACCNNCCCCTCAAGGAGGTCATGACACCAGATGACGTCCGCTTCGACAAGGCCCGTATGAGCGGCATGTGGAACCCGGACTTGCCCATGAACAAGTGGCTTCGCGAGAGCGGAAAGAAGACGTTGCTGTTCGCTGGTGTCAACACCGACCAGTGCTTGCTGGGCACTGTCACTGACGCATACAACTGGGGATGGTACGTTAGCAGCCAGATCTCAGAACAATACGCGCAAACCAGCTAACGCGAATCGCAACAGGNNGACTGCATCCTTATTGGCGACTGCGCAGCCACCATGACTGGCCTCAACGCACAGGCAGTGTGTGATTATAATATCGCAACCAACATGGGCTTTGTTACCGACAGCCCGGCCTTCCTGGACTCTGAGCTCGTGTTCGGTCCTTTGAAGTGAATACATGGCCAGCATGTTTGTCTTTTGCTCACGACAATTTCCTTTGCTCTTCTCTTCATCGCAATGATGGGTATTGGTTTGCTGCACATGGAAGCATTTTCGACTTCTTTTTCTGGACGGCGGCGGCAGGGAGAGGAAAACCACCACTATCATCAGCAACGGCGTTTTTATCATGGGGAGCACTACTCAGCAGGGGGTCTCTTTTGTTTTAGACCCATGATGTGCTCACGTATCACGAGATACCCTAGATGTTTTTGTTTTCTTTTTAGCTTCTTTGCTTTTGCTTTTGCTTCTTTCAGAGCAACAGCACAACACAAACACACAACAGATCAGACAGAAAAATGCAGGAACAGGATGCAGGTCGTTCTGTTCACTTCAACCAATCACTCTATTTCCCTTTGATGCATGTGTTTGCATGTGACATTTGACACTTTGCAGCCAGGTTCGCTTACTGCAGCATTGGTGTCCAAAAAGCAAAACATCAATATCGATACGAGACTACACCATGGGGGATCTTCCTAGCCAATTAATCTCTTGTCACTCGAAACCGCCAGGCGAAGGACAAAAGGCATATCTCAAGAGACACAAGCCACGCGATGATCGCTCTCTTTGATACAACACAATCTATCCGATATCGAAAAAGCCAAGTCGCAAGACACGGAAAAGATGAAGCTTCGATGGTAACAGAAAACTCAGGCCAACATCGTGTCCTTGAGGTCTTTGCTGCTTGCCCTGTGTTATTATCGAATCTTCTGGACCTTCTGTTGCAAGTTACTTGCTCGGAGGTTGCGCGTTTCGTGTTGGGGTGAATGGATACGGATCATAGGGACACGAGCATGCATAACACAGTCAGCGAGATAAGGCAGGCAGACATATATCGGGCCGGAATCAACATGTTGGGGTGAAGACAGGCTTCAGGAAGGAGACGAGAGGATAAATAGTGTATACGCTTTGCATAAGTCGATGTCAGGTCCTACCCATCCGATCCGCGACTCCATCAACATAATTGATCCGCGACGCCGCTGTCGCCATCTCTTTTCGCTCCCACAGTCAGTGCCGCCCGCGCGCCTGTGGGCCTTGACAGTATGATCGTCGCAACACCCTGAACGCCGACGGATCCCTGTGCAGCCGAAGCAACCTTCTCAACTGCAGGGGAGTGGAGCACAGAAGAACGCCACCGAGTCGCGCGACAGGCACAACAGCAACAGCAAAACACGTTTCAGCCTGTTGTGCGAGGTGCACCACCGGTGTATTTTCCGTTGAGCACGAGGCTCTTCACACACCAAACATGTGAATATGCAAGGTACGAGAAAAGAGAATTGCTAGTGTAGGGGTTTCTGGACAGCCAGGAACTTGTGCTTTTATTCTGCGAGATTGCAAGCAAGAAGGCGCAGCAAGTGTTCTATTGCTTTTGCGAAGCGGAACTCTTGCCGGGGTTTCAATCTTGCAGTTGCCCTTTCCCTCATTCGCAGAAGGCACCGTAAATAGAAAAAGATCATACACGACAACAACAGAGCAAGAGAACGCGCACCCAGGGGATGAGAGGTTCCACCTGGCGGTTGGAAGATGATGCAAGTTGAAGTCTTGGCAGTCCCAATGCTTTTCAGCACACCCTTCCAGCAAAGGCAGTGAGCACAGTTGGCGATGGGTTGGTCGGGGCCAGTCTCATGTCTGCATCTCGCACATCTCTTTGATTATCAATTCGCTGGTGTTCCTTGTTCCTGGATCCTGATGCTGATCTGATTAATTAGTCCAACGACTCTGACTCTGCTTACTCGCTTTTTTCTATTCTTCCTCTTCTTTTCATCTTTCATACACCATACATCCCCTACTCGTACAAGCCCTACACTCGCTGTTAGAGCTACCCTCCAGTCGTTACCATAACGTGTGAACTGAGGTCGGGCCTTCCGTGATCCGGCCGAGCGCTTTCGTGGTAGACGCACGTTTCGAACCAAAGCTAAAAGTGTCCGACAACCACCCACGTCATTGAATGAGCGGACTTTTAACTGCCTGGCGCGGCTCTATCACCATTGTTTGAACCTTTTGCCCAAGAAGAGGTATACACCATGTCGACACCGAGCGATGAGAGGCCGGAGCCTACATACCAACAGCCTTCATATCATCTACCCGCATACAACGTCAACCCCCACACTGGCAACCCCCACCATGGCGAACGATCCTCGGACGAAGAAGGAACTATTGTTGGAGATCACAGAGACCACAGCAATCACAGCAACCAGAGAGAACCCCAATACCACGAAGAAGAATACGATGCACCACCCATCGATCCTCGCGTGCACCGCATGGGCAGCCATCTTACGGTCGACACAGCCAACGATCCCCACTACCACCCTCGCCTGCAGGACATGACATCGCCCTCCCAAAACCGAGAAATGGCCAATCGACTTGATGACGACCTGGAGTTGCTCAAGATCGAGAGACAAGTGTCACACGATGCCGACACTGCAACAAGAGATGGTGCCTCACACTTTGGTCGCCAGGCTTCTCGAAGAGACGACCTGATTGATGAATTCGATGTGGCTACAAACCCAATCCACGAGCAAACAGCCATGTACAAGCCTCCTCAGGATCCTGTCGGCAAATTCTCCAAGCTGGTCAAGAAGATTCATCATTCGAGTTTCCTGATCCGCTACATCACATACATTTTGCCCGTGGTTCTGATTCTTCTCATCCCACTGTTGATTGGCGCGCTTGTCAGTCCTGCCACAAAGGCTGTGGTCGGAGGTGTTGAGCTCATGTGGTTCATGATTTGGCTGGAGATTGTCTGGCTCACCTTGTGGGCTGGCAGAATTCTCGCAAAGTGCCTGCCTTACCCGATTGGACTTTTCTCGACCATCTTCACCAACAACAGCAAGAAATGGCGTGATATGGGCAAGCAACTTGAGCTTCCTGCTACTCTTTTTTTCTGGTGGCTCGGTGTTGAGGTCTCGTTTTTGCCGACCATGAAAAACCATCAAGCTAGTGGAAGCCGTACTACGCAACCCTGGATGGGCACCATGAACAAGGTCCTTGTAGCCATCTTCGTCGGCATGATTCTCAACTTTGTCGAGAAGATCATCATCCAACTCATCGCCATCAGCTTCCACTTGCGCACATACGCCGACCGTATTGAGCTGAACAAGTTCCAGATTGGCAGTTTGGTCAAGCTCTACACTTTCTCCAAGGCAAAGATTGCCATGGAAGACTCGGAATTCGAGCAGCCTTCTGGTATGGATTCCGGTACTCGCACCCCTGGTCGTTACCTCCAGGAAGCTCAAAAACAGACAAAGGAAATCTTTAACAAGGTCGGTGATGTTGCTGGCAAGATGGCAGGCGACTTTACTGGAAAATCTGTCGCAAAGAGCACTCACCCTCACCAAGTTGTCTTGACACTTTTGGGATCTACCAACGGTAGTCAAGTTCTTGCACGTCGTCTTTACCGTACTTTTGCCAGACCCGAGACCGAGACTGTGTACAACGATGACTTGAAGAACGCCTTTGACAACGACGAAGAAGCCGAGGCAGCGTTCTCCATGTTCGACAAGGATATGAATGGAGACATCTCAATGGAGGAACTGGAAGCTGTTTGTGTTGAGATCGGTCGTGAGCGCAAGTCTATCACCGCCTCGTTAAAGGATCTGGATTCAGTTGTTGGCAAGCTTGATGACATGTTCATGTTCCTGGTTGCTGTCATCACCATTCTGGTTTTCATCTCGCTTATTTCGACTTCTGCTGCTGGTGTTCTTACTTCGGCCGGTTCTACTGTCCTCGGTCTTTCATGGCTGTTCTCGGCAACCGCAACTGAAATTCTGCAGTCCATCATCTTCGTCTTTGTCAAGCATCCTTTCGATGTCGGAGATCGTGTTACCATCTACGGAAGTACTGGTGCCACTATGACTGGTGATGACTACTTTGTTAAGGAGATTGCGCTTCTCTATACCGAGTTCAAGAAGATGGAAGGTCACGTGGTGCAGGCACCCAACAGCTACCTCAATACCCTTTTCATCCTCAACCAGCGTCGTTCTGGTGGTCTCGCCGAAGCCGTACCAGTCGTCATCAAGTTCGGTACCACTCTTGACCAGATTGAGACTCTGCGTAACCGCCTTCTCGACTTTGTCAAGCAAGAAAAGCGCGAATACCAGGGCAACATTCTTACCGAACTCCGCGCAGTCACCGAAGTCCACTCTCTTACTCTCAACGTCATCTTCTTCTACAAGTCCAACTGGCAAAACGAAGGTCTCCGTCTCGCGCGCAGAAACAAATTCATCTGCGCTCTCATGGTCACCATGCAAGAATGTGGTATCGAAGGTCCTCGCATGCGCTTCCCTGGTCAGAAGGAGTCCTTCCCTGTGTACATGCAAAACATTCCTCACCAGGCTACACCCGGCATAGGTCGCAATGGTCACCCTGACAACCCGACCGGCTGGCAAGAAGGTGATGGCCAAGATCCACCATTCGTCGCTCCCTCTGAAGGCCCTATTGGCGGCCGCGGACGTAGTGGTTCCATCCTCCGTCAAGGCTCTCTTGCTCGGGGCGGCCGCCACGAGACCCTTGCACAAATGGGCAAACGTGTCGACTTTTCCCTCGGCATGAGCGCAGAGGCAGCAAACAACTACTCTGGCGACGTCTTTGAAGACACACGCAAACCCCGCCTACCCATCAACATCACCTCGCCATCGCCAGACAACCGCAACAGAAAGTCCAACGACACGCACAGATCTACCGACACCGGCCGCTCTACCTCCCGCGACATTGGACCTGGCCGCCTCGCGCGCAGATCCACAGATACATCCACGACTTCGCGTCCGCACCACCGCAACCGCTTCTTTGGCCGCGCCCGTGGCAACACAATCGACGACCAAGCGATGATGGAAAAGGGCATGGCCGACATCCCTGAAGATTCTCCCGGCGGCGCAGCTGGAGCCATCGACCCACGCAGCGGCCTTGTATCTGGAGCAGCATGGAGAACGCGAACGAACGAATCCAATGTCGTACGCAAAAGTCAGGAGAGACCTAGAACAGCCCACACCGCCGATACAGCAGGCCACTCTATCGGTCTCGACGGCCCACCACAATTACATCCTGGCGATCCTTCCACTGAAGACTTTGAGATGAAGAGGTTTCATTGATTGAAAAGAGAAACAACAGATTATAGAAATTAGATTAGAGGATTTGGGGATTTGTTTTTTTACTTTTCTTGCTATTGCGATATTTAGCGATCAGATCTTTTGCATGAGATGGAGGAAACTCGATCATTCCTTTGGAGTTTTTTTCTCACCCCTTTTTTGTTTCTTTTTTTTCCCGCGTTTGACACTCCCTTCGTGTTGATTTTTTATCGACAGACGAATGTACATTTTATTTTTCAGTTTGACTCTTTCGTCTTCCACAGCGTGTCTACCTCGGTCAGTACTCAGAAGTTTTGCTGGCTTAGTAATAAGCCTTCGTAGACCCCTACAAATGTCTTGAGAGTTTCTCAGGAATCATCGACCCATCTGCTGCGAGTTGATAGCTCACACCTAATACAAAAGAGAGACAGTAAAGTATTAATTCTTGGGATAATGGATCAAGTAAGTCACATGCAACCACAGTCAACCGAAAGCTGGATACCGGTGCTTACAAAATCGTCGAACTCTACGAACATATTTCGCAACTCTTTGTGATATTCCTATCGTTGTCTTAATCTGCGTCTTGCGCGCCCGATCGAATTGGAATAGGTGGCAAAGAGAATGATGACGGTTTTGCTGCGTCGACGCCGCCGTGGTCGATCAGATGTACCTGTGTTAGAGTCCATCAGAAAGTGCAATGCTGAGTAAAGACTGACAATCTAGAGTTGATTGGGATCCGTTCTTTGCTCAGATCGAAACTCACCTGATCTACGAGTCTCTGAACCCAAAGCGTCCAGTGCTGCTCCAGAAAAGGCCCACGCAAAGATTTGGATCAGGGAATAAATCGATCCTGCGACCTGGACGAGCCCCTGCCAGCACGCTAGGCGTCAGCTACTCGCTCTGACTTCCTTGCGACGATGGGAATACACTTACTCCAAAATCCAAAGCTGTGCCGTACTTTACTACCGTTCGCTTGCTCGACGGAATCCGCAAGTACAGAAACGCAGTACAAGGTTCTGCATCAGCTGATCCCTGAGAGGTGTCGCAGACTATGTTCATGGCTGGAATGGAAGTGATGGAAGGATCGTAGTAATAATACCTTCGGCCGTCGGCGAACTGCCGATCTTCAATGCCCAAATTGATCGACGATGTACCGAGTGCATTGATGTCGAGTAGTTTCGTAAGATCCTGCCTGATGGCTTCGTCTAGACTCAAACGATGATCATAGATTGCGAGATAGAGACCAGGACTTGGAGTGGTCTTGTTGTGGGTCTGAGTGCTCATTGTAGAAGCAGAGACGTCATCTAGTGTACAGTGAGATGCTCGTTAGCATTTTCCAAGGAGGACAAGGTCTGGCTTACAATAGAAGGAGAGCTTGAGCAGCATCATGAACGTTGACTGTGTTGGAGCTAGCAAGGCTCCACTTGCGTTTGGCGAGAATGTGAGAGAACTATAAAGTCCATATCCTCCTCGCCACGTAAAGTTGCTAAAAGACTTTTCCCACTGGTCCGAACAGATACAAGTGTCCACTTGTGATAGAGCAGTTTGGTCTAGACTAGAGCAGGTGGCAGCTGTCTTGTTGTATTGACCCAGAAAACATTCTGGTCCGTTCCGCTCCAATTCGAGGTTTGCTTGTGCTGCCCAATCCTTCTTTTGCAAGACAGTGACGGCCGGAAACGCCACCTCTCCCTGTTCGTGTTAGGATTCGTTCTTTTCATCTTCTATCAGGGGTACTCACTGGATGGGTATCTATTTGAGAGACTGCTATAGCAGGCTCGCGAAGTTGTTTCGACCACCAAGAGTAGTAACAACACGAGAGGACCACAAGTGTCGTGATCGTAGTGAGCGTAGTGTTGCGATAGTTGGCACTTCCCATGAATCTGGATCGAGACCATATGAGCGCACATATGCATATGAATGCTCCAGATAAGCTCAAGATGAGTACTATCAACCGAAATGTATCGGTTGGGCGAACCGCCTTAGTAGAGGTAGCCAAAACAACAAGGTAATAAAGAAGAATGACAAGAAACCAGAATGAAGGGTCTTTGAACCGACGAGGAAGCCAGCCATGCATTCTGGATTTCCAGCTGGGTTGCTGCATCTGAGCACCGATCAGTTGCAGTGTCGGAACGCGACTAGGACCAACATGAAGCCAGGATAGGCGAAATGAAAACAGAAATGCCCTGAGCCTGTTCATCGTGGTTCTAAGCGAGTGAGATTCAGATGTATGCAAAACAAAACAACGCAATTCATTAAAGGCAAGTCTGATCATGGCGAAGAGCCAATTTATCTGCACTAAGCTCTCATCCCATCACTCACCAAGCAACCAAAGTCCACCGACGACATTCATGTATGCATGGCGCGTGGCTTGCGTTCGACGACATGGCAGGGTGTCCCACGTACCAGGTCACATGGACGCCAACTTCGCGCCGTTTGTCAGACCATTCGCTTCCCCGACGCAGCTAACGCACGATGCTTACAGGAAAGATGTCTAGGTTGGGTCAGACGTGGTCGGGGAATAGGTAAAGCAGGACCTGATGTTTCTAAAGGTTGATGACCTAGGCAAGTGCCCATGAGACGAACGTGTCTTCAGATTCGATTCAATACCTTTGTAGACTGCAGACTTTGTATACGACCTTTGCGATATGAAACCAAGTGCTTTATGCGCTCTTGCGCTTCTAGTGCAGGGATTGACAGCGAAGAAATTTCTACCCTACCACGGGTAAGTCGCACTTGGTCAAGAGCATACGATGGAGAGGCATACTAAACGAGTAGTGTCAATCTTGCCGGCATGGACTTTCATATCAACAGGTCTGGTTTTGTGGAATACGCTGGTGCGAAGCCTACCATACCCATGGAGGCAGATGTGAGCGCATGGCTGGCGCTCAATACCACTTTGTTCCGGATCCCCATGGGATGGAACTACTTGCAGCCGACAGGAACGTTTCCCTGCGACATACTGGACTCGACTACAATGAGCCAGCTCGATTCTATCGTCAACCAAATCACACAAGATGTGAGCCGTGACGTATACGCTATCATAGACGTTGTAAGATACCTCAGAACCCGTTGACAAGCCTCTTTGATGAGAGTGTTCGCATATATGTCAAACAACTGACTACTGTGGAGCATAACTATGCTAGATACAACGGCAATGTAGTTGGCCAAGGATCATCGCCAGGTTCGCGTCCATACGATTATGATCTCGAAAATCTCTGGAGGCTTCTTGCGGTTCACTACCAAGGGAATCGACATGTGGTATGTTTCGAATACGTTGCGCTCGATGTGTCATACTCACAATCAGGATTCCAGATGTTTGGCTTGATGAACGAGCGTTAGTGTCTACTTTTGCAACCATCCAGCGGTCTGTAGAAGCTGACTAGTCACGTAGCACATGACCTCGACGTGGACATTTGGGCAGAGACGATGCGGCGTGTCGTCCAGACAATCCGCAACATCACGTCTGATCAATACATATTGATTCCAGCACCACCATGGCAAGAACTAAGCAGTTGGACAGAGGTGTCCAAACCATATCTCCAGAATGTGGTGGACCCAGCTAATAAACTACTATTCGACGTCCATCAAGTGCTACTCACCAAAGCTGATTTCTTGCTCTGGGAATTGCGTTTGCTAACAACTTTGTCTAGTATTTCGACCACCACGGAGGCAATACGGGCAATTGCAGTGACTTCAACAGCACCTATCGTTCTGGTTTCGATGAGTTCGTCACGGCGATGAAATCGCTCGACGCTCAGGCAATACTGACCGAATTTGGCGGATCTAACAACACTTGGTGTAGGAATACTATCGAAGACATGTTAACCTTTATGGAAGCTAATCCATCGACTTTCTTCGGCTGGACAGCATGGGGTCAAGGACTCAGCCCTGACGAGCATACATATATCAGTGTAAGCACTGCAAACGCATCGCTCTCAGATGGTAATGCTCCCAGCCTGGAGAGCATCCTTGTGCGGCACATGATGAGCGCAGGCACGAGTTATTTGCCGGATATACTACTTTGGGTATTCTTAGGTTTCACTGTCGCCGTATATGCGAACGTCTAGCTCTGAGAATACAGAAATTTCGTGACTAGACATGCATGATAGACGAGCAGTGCATCTTTGAGATTTTTAACTTTTCTTGCTATTGCGATATCTAGCCATTAGATGTTTTTGTTTCTCTACATGATATGGAGGAAACTCGATTATCCCTTTAGAGTCTTTTTTCTCACCTTTTTCTTGATTCTCTTTTTGTTTTAACATATGTTGCTATTCTATCGACAAATGAATGTACATATTTTCTTCCACATCTTGACTCTTTCGTCTTTATCGTGTCTAAGTATATTAGTTCTCTACGCAGACGTGCAATGCAGCAGTCTTGCTGTCCACAATAGAGCTTGTTTACCGTACTGTCCTCAGATGCCTTGGAGATGTGGAAGCCACTCCTTCCCTCGAGTATCTTTGAGAGTGATTTAAGTGTATCAGACATCGTCAACGACATCCTCACTCGCAACCTCTAGTGATCTGTAAAATCTTGTGAGCAGGACCAACGCATCATGTGTTCCTTGTTCTGTCCGACTAATGCTCTGCTCGTATGCTTTGATGACTGGAAGCAGCGCTGGTTTGGTATACCTATTTGCATAAACCAAGAATGAAGGGTAGTCAAATGCCTCTTCTCGTGCTTCGCTCTCGTTCTGCATACATCTCCAAAGTCTGTCACACAAAGCTCTTTTCCTCTCATCCAACAAACAGTTCCAAGAACCTGACTTTTCTTTCCTCGATCCCTTGCTTCTCCTTTTCCTTCTCACCACCTTCATCGGTCCTCACGACTACGGGCCCTAGAACGCTTGCAACACCTCTCTGTACACTCAACCTCCAAGCCTCTTTACCGTCCTTGGGCAGGTTCTTCCTTTTCAAATGATTCGGAACGCCATCCCAGAAATCTCCTTGGGGAGCTTTGTTGAGCATTTCGGCATGGTTATGCTGGATAGTCGTCATCACCTCCGAAGCAATTCTATCCAACATACTCGTCACCAAGATGAAAGAGATCGAGTGAGCGGGTGACGAGGACAGAATTTCTTGCGCCCAAGTGCGCAGGTCTTCGTCTTTTGCCTGTTGCGATTGCTTCAGCTTTTCCTGTTTTCTCAAACCGTCGTCGAGTTGGTGCCATAACGTTGGTGTCACGACTCTTTCTTGCATGGCTTGCAGGAACAGCAGCAAAAACTCGGCAATACACTCCAGCTTCTGTAGATGCGTGAGTGTAGGTGAGAAANNAACGGAGTCAAAGGACGAGTCAGTATCCAGTGCCTCTGCAACATCAGCAAGACCATCCGCCCTCAGCGCTTTGTCCTCTAGAGTCCAAGACGCAGCAGCAAAAGGCCATCCAGCAGATTTTTCCCAAGGGGGTTGGGCGGTAGGATCGTTCAGCATACCCCACTCGGCAATAACGCGGACGGTCAATTCCTCTATCACCTCCGTCAGCCTGAACAGCTCACGCGGCGCAGACCATCTTACGGGTATTGCCTCGTCGTCATCAAGAACAGAGCCAGAAGACACACTGCCGCTTTTCTGCTTGCCACTATCGGGTCTTTGTCGTTGCAGTTTGCGGATGCCACCTTCAGGTATACGGATGAGTTTGGAGATTGAGTGACCAAGTGAAGATTCCAGCCACGTTCCACGTAGAGGAATAAAATGGTCACGACCATTCTCGACCCGTAATACGAGTATATCTTCGAGCGATTTGATGCCTTCATTGAAAGCTCGTGCTAGACTGACGTCCAGGATGCGCATCTCCAGTTCGACGTTAAAGGCTTGACCAGGTTCGAGGGTACGTTTACCCATGTCAGAGGATAGTTTGCCAGTGCCATCGTCGATCTTGAGTGACACCCAGCTGGGATAAAGGCCAGGGTGTTGACCGGGACCTACAGGGCGGTCGATGAAGTAGACGGTCGCGGGCACTTGGCCCGTGTTTGCTATGGTGAGGCTTCGGCGCTTGTGCATGGCATATCTGACTTGGCCAAACCATACACCTTCGAACTTTGTTGGATCGTCGTCCGAGATACCCTCTTCAGTAGAGTGAGGACGGTCGGCCACGACTAGAGGTCACAAATCACATCAGCATTGTATGAGTCGGTATACAGATTTTCTTTACAAACCTGTCACATTGGGTCGCCCTTCATTCTCTGCTCTATCCAGTTCTCGTGCGACTTCCTGGTGGATCTTTGTTTTCAGTTCTGGAACCACAGCATCGTATTTGAATGAGAAGACAGCATCCAGTGGCTTGTGGTCGGAAGATAAAACTCGTTGATGCGCCACATATGACTCCAAACTGATTTCGTCAGCGAAACCTTCTTTGGTAATGACTGTCCCCTCTGGGGCGTCTTCATATGCGTCGTCGTATGAACCAGCTTCGTCAGCATCTTCATCAGGATCGTAGTCGTACAGCATTTCTTCGTCCTTGCCTGCTTCATCAAGACCATTGTTCTTCATTTCTTCGTCCTTCTTTCTAGCATCTTCTTCCTCGGCAATCGTGCTCTCGTAAGCAAGCATGTCGCGTCTCGTTCGCCACAAGATTCGATCACACCAACTGGGTGCACGTCTCTTCTCGCTAGAATCAAAGACTCCGACACTTCCAGCATCGTACTTGTAAGTCGGTAAGAATGTGATTGGTCCTTCTTGCCAGCCTTGGAATGTCTTTNNTCTTGCCTTTTGTTGCTGATGCAATTCGTCGTGAGGTAGTAGAGATGACAGTGTGGTGTGCAATGAAGCCGGATCACTAGCCGGATCAAGCATGTCCTCCTGATCAAACTCTTCCTCCTCTTTCGCATCTTCACCATCGCGAGATCTAACCGTGGAGACTTGAGATACTCCAGAGTCCGTCGACATCCTGTTTTCTCTCCTTCTCTCGATAGAAGCTTGATTACGTGCAATCTCCTTGTCGACCTGCTTGCCCTGCTTTTTCGACAAGTCATATTCGTTGCGGGTGTGAAGCATCAACAAGCGGCGAACGTCTTCGCCAGGGATGCCCTCAAGTCTGTAGTTGAGATCGCCAACAAAGAACGCAAAGTCGGCATCATCAATTCCTTCACCAACATTCTGCGAGAGGCCCATAGAATCCTGGATGGGCTCGAACTTGGTGCGACTCATGACCTGTCCATAGTCCCAGTTCCTGCGTTCGACGGCACCTTTGTCTGTTCCAGCAGCAAGGTGAGCATTGACGAAGACAAGGCGCGTGGTTTCTCCGAGGACGATTCGAGCTGTGACGGCACCCTTGTTGCCCATATATCCCATGAGACCTGTGCCAACACTGGTCGTGCTCACAGATTTGATATCTGCAGCCACCTCCTCGGAGGCATATATGAGCAACAACATGCCTATAAGCTGTTGCTCCGCAATGAACCTGTAGCCTCTGGGCAAGTGGGCTTCCATCTCGCTTTTCCATTTTGCCGCCACCGAAGGATCCGTATACGGCCTGAGAGCTTCAGCAGCAGAATTGACATCCACAATTTCTTGAAGTCCTAGGAGATATAGTCCAATGTCGCGGCCGCCGGGCAGTAGACTAGGATCATCATGTGGCAGTGTCGGTTTCTTCCTCTCATAGCGTGCTTCTTGGTCTTCCACGCCTTCGCGATCATCCAGTGAGCTCCTGTGGTCCGCTATTGCATCATCTTGCGATTCAGAATTGTCTGATACAGTGAGATCAGTCAATCCTTCTGCAATCCCCTTGCCGTCAATGAACCAAGCAATGTCTTTCTCAGCACCCTTGTACGCAGCAGCATTCCAAGTGCCGACCNNTAGAATCCGACGAAAGTCAATCGCAACCCATCACAAAAGCTTCAAAGCTGGTAGAAACAAAAGACAAACCTTGATCTTGATATTTTTCGGTCGCGTGTATTCAGATCTCCTGCCGTACACGGCTTGCGAAAGTGACTGTTGGTTGGATGTAGGNGGCTGTATCGATTCGGGATATCCACCAGGCAGTGAGTTGACCACTTCTTGCATCAAACTGCTAGAAGTGCTTGTTGGTCGCGATGATTTAGTGCTCGACATCTTCCGTTCATCTGGTTGCGATGCAGAGAAAGGGTTCCAAGGATGCCGAGAGCGCGAAAGACGCTAATGATAAATCCCGCTCAGTAAGGGTATAGAGCGTTGGAATGTTGTCAGACGAGAGGGAGATAGGGGTTCGGTCCCTTCAACGCGACCGTCTTCAAAAGAAATTCAACGAGATCGAAACTGTCAAGTCGCAAGAGAAGTCATAGCCCTTGCTTGTCAACGATGTTTCCCGCTTGTGTGGTCATCCGCGGGGAGGCTCTGGAACAGCAAGATCGACCCCAAAAAGCTTGGCTCTGCAGATCAATCCGCATGACATCGTTGAGGAACCACTTTTTCCAATAGCATACTCCCGTCATCTGCTGTGCTGCGCCTCACTTCACTGTTATAACGATATTTGGTCACAATATATCAGAACAAAGTAGGCAGAGACAAGTTAGTGAACGAGAACTGTCAAAATAGCTAATTCATCTAGGTATACACGAGTCTTCTCTTCAGTTCTTTCTTTCCATCATAACACAAGTGAGAACTGGCAGGCATTTCTGGCTTCTCATGCTGCCATCTGTCCACTGCATTCGCTCATCCCAGAGCGCCAAACAAATGATATGATCTGACAGTAATTTCAGCAATGATAGCAACAAAGAAGAAACAGTTTATAGAGAAAGTCTCAAGAATCGCAGCACGCTGCTTGATAATAAATAAAAAATAGTCGTGCTTTACGAAGCCATGCCACCATCAACAACACCGTCGGCTATCGCAAGTCGCTGCTTGAGCGTCTTTGCTTTCTTGCCAGTAGTCTTCTTCTTTTTCGATGGTGGGCCTTCGGAGCCGCCAGGTACTGGTGTTGCTGCACCGGAAGGTTTGTTACTGTGGTCGTCGTCGAACTGTCCTTCGCCTGTCATAATCTTGTTAGTATCTGTGTTGAGGTAGTTGGAATTGAAGATGTTCTCACCTTCGTGGTACATGTCATCCATACTGATCTCCTTCTTCTTCGTTGGAGCCTTTCTTTTCTTTGCCTTGTTCGGTTCTTTAGCCTCTTGCTCGGCAAACTCAGCTTCCTTGCGCTCAATCTCGGCGGCCTGATCATCATCAGCCAACCATAGAGCGATGTCCTTGGTGCGGTTCTCTCGAGTTGTACGTCCGTTGAAGTCGACACCTTTGTCGCCACTTGTGGCACCAGCGCCACCAGTGATGACCACGCGTTGGACTTCTTCCTTCTGTAGAGCACGCTTGCGGATACGCTCTTCGATGGTACCACGTGTGATGAGACGGTAAACTGTGACCTGTCTTGTTTGACCAAGACGATGCGCACGATCCATAGCTTGTGAATCAATAGTAGGGTTCCAATCACTGTCGTAGAAGATGACAGTGTCGGCAGATGTAAGGTTGATACCAAGACCACCGGCACGCGTACTGAGGAGGAAGACGAAGATCTCAGGTGTTGACTGGAAAGCCGCAACAGTATCTCTACGGTCTTCGAGTTTTGTCGAACCATCAAGACGGCAGTACTTGTAGTTGCGGTATGTGAGATACTCTTCCATCAAGTCGATCATGCGAGTCATCTGGAAGTATAGCAAGACTCGGTGGCCGCCCTCCTTCAGTTCTCTGAGAAGCTTGTCCAACTGAGCCAATTTGCCAGAGTCAGTGACAAAGCGGCGCATACTTGGGACTTCTATCGTGGTATATCCTTGCTTCTTGTTGATGGGCTCAGGCAACATATTCGTGATTGGATAATCTGCTGGTGCGACTTTGCTTGACAAGAGTGCTTGCTCGGTTTCCAAGGTTATAGGGTTCAGCGTGCTTCGGATCGAAGAGTTGAAGAATGTAGTTTCCATCTCAACGATGGAGTGTTGACTGGGGCAGACCAATTCGATCGGAGGAGCAGCAGCCGTAGGAAGAGAGCAAGGTTCGATATCACTGTAACCCGTCTGCTCTACGGCCAATCGAGAGACGTTCATCAGGTTGCTCAGGTAGCCTTCACCGGACACATCTGCGATGAGGCTTGGCTTGGAGTGCTGAACAACATTGAGCATGGAGTGCGCAGGCACGTAACGCTCCTCGACGTCAAGGTAATCACCTTGCTGGAAGAATGTTCGACGCTTTGACTGTCTCTCAAGCTCAACTGCGCGATCAAAGATTCCACTGTGGGCGGCTCTCGAGACATCACTGGCTGACTGATCAACGAAGCGCAACCATGAAAATGCTCCTGCATTCTTGGTGTTTTGCTTGATGTGTTCAGGATCCCAGATGCTCATCATGTGCTTCAGCCATTTATTTCTCCAGCCGGCACGCCCATTGTCGGGTCCAGCAAGGTCCAATCGACCACCATCAGAGCCGAGCTGTTTTGGGAGCCAGTATTCGATCAGACTGCGGACCGAGTATGCGAGATTGACAAAATTACCCTCTCTGCTGAAGGAAGCAGTCTCCGCCCAGTATGACAAAGCAAGTGGAGAAGTCGTGTCGGCGCGCTCGAACAAGTCGGGGTGATTGCAGACCTTGCGGAACTGCATGACTAAGTTCATCAAGGTTGCCGTGTCCTGATCATCTCCAACAGCCGCCTTCTCGATGAGGTCCAAGATACTGATCTTGTTCCGCAGGTTGGCATAAAGAGCTCGCTGGCGGTACGTGAGATCGCAGTATACATCCTTCTCCACCTTGTCACCGAGTTCTTTCTGGACATGCTTCTTGACACGACGCAACATGAAGGGCTTGAGGATCATGTGCAATCTCTTGAGCTGATCTTCATTGAGTTTGGTGTTACTCTGAGCGTGGCTCTCAATGTCCTTGGAGAACCAGTCACTGAATTCGTCGTGTGAATCGAACAAACTAGGCATGATGAAATGGAGCAAAGCCCACAACTCTTGCATGTTGTTCTGGATCGGTGTACCGGTCAGAAGGAGGCGGTTACGACAGTGGAAGCCCAGCAGGGCCTTCCATCTCGAACTTTGAGAAGACTTGATGGCTTGCGCTTCGTCAAGAATCATGTACTGCCAGCGGATCTTTTGGAAGTATGGCGTATCTTGCACCACAAGTTGGTACGATGTTACCAAGACGTGGAAGGACGATTCTCGGTTATATGTGATGTGCTTGCGGTCCCAGAATTTGCGCAGGACTTTACGGTCCTTTGCATTACCCCAGTACGGCAGCACTTTGAGTGTGGGGACGAACTTGGCGATCTCCTGTTGCCAGTTGTGAAGTGTCGAGGCTGGAGCAATGACAAGGAAGGGTCCCCAGATGTTGTGGACTTCAGCAAGATATGCCATGACTGAGATAGACTGTACGGTTTTTCCAAGTCCCATCTCGTCGGCAAGAATACCATTGATACCTTGCTCATACAAGTTGACCAGCCAGTTGAGACCCTTGAGTTGGTATTCCTTGAGCTGACAGGTGAGCATGTTCGGCTGTGAGACGTCCATGGTCTGCAGACTGGTGGGATTTTGGAAATTCATCTCGCCATCGTCGAACTGTGACATCTTGTTCTCTCCATTGGGATCCTGATTGAATGCGCGTGCCCTGTCCTGTGCCTCTTGGACTGCATTTTGAGCATTTGCCATGGCGGCCTGTCGCAGGGCGGTCTCGTCTTCTGCATCAAAGTCAAGATCCTCGAAGTTCGTAACCTTCGTGCTGAGATTGGCGACACTGTCGGGCAGGTCAATAGTGTTGGCACTAGATGGACCAGGCCTCGTGGTCTGGTCAGAAACAGAGACATCGTTGGTGGAGTTTTCGACTTCGTCTGTCTTGACCTTCTTGCCAATGAAATGCGAGTACAGTTCCGTCTGGGAGATCAAGAAATTCAACTTTCTCTTCTGTCGGTTTGCTTCGCGTTCAGCTTCGGCACGTTTGGCGTTCTCCAATTCTTGCTTCTCAGCCATCTTGCGCTGGTCGCGTTCATCACGCTCGTTGCGCTTCCAGAAGGACAGCATTTCACGCATAGCGCGCTTTGCGCGAGCCTGGACATCCTTGGTGCTCTTGTTGGTACGTAGTTGCCAGCGGCGTGCCTCCTTGGACGCCAATTGAGCTGTCTTGCGCATGTTGCCTTGCTTGACCTCTAGTGCCTGGAGTCTGGTGCGAGCAATCTTTGAGGCGCTGACCGAGATGTCCTTCCAAACCTCGCGATAGATCTGGTCGTATGTCTTCTCCCCAGGTTCGATGTCTTCCATAGGTGTGCCCTCCATGCCGTCGCTGGAGGTGCCGCGCAGGCCTCGGAGTCGCAATTCTTCTCTCGGGGTGATCGGGGGCATGTCTTCACCGCGGTCCATGAGGGCTTGTGCTTGGGCGGCGCTGTCCTTCTCGGCTTGCTTCTGGGCCTTGCTCTTGCGTGGACGGTATCCCTTGGCGCCTTTCTTCGCTTTCGCATCTGTGGTGAGGTCGTCATTAGCTTGGAAAGACGACATAAAGCCCCCTTCCAGGTTGGGAGGCCCGGGCGAGTCTCCGAGGAGAGCTTTGCTGGGAAGGCGGCCATGTAGGAGGTCTTCGGTATTCCGTATCTTCTTACCATATTTCTGGACGTCCTTGAGCAGGCGCGATTTTTCGTCTTCGTCTTCGAGGTCTTTGAGCTTTTCGATCGCTTCGTCGCGCTTGGCCGTCTCATTAAGCAACGTCCTTTCTCGTCTGCGCTTTCGCTGCATGTCCTTCTTGCGCTCCTTTTCTTCTTCGGCGTCCTTTACGCGCACTTCCTCTTCGGCTTGCTTCTCGTGTGTGGCGACGAAGTGATCCTTGGCGAGGTTTGCGTTTGCGTCGAACAGTTCGAGGTACATCCTAGTCGAGGCTTGACGGCGTTTCTGTATCGTCTGTTAGTGCTGTCTATCAATGCTTAAGATGGGCTGTCGAACCTTTCGCTTGCCCAGCTCTCTCTGTTCTATCTCGATCATGCGCTTTGCGGATCTCGTTGCCCATGCGACCTTAGGACCTTCGAATCCAGCTTGTTCAACTTCACTCATCTCGGCTGCTTCGATTTCAGCATAGGCCGCTTCGGTGGCTTCGATGGTGAGACCTGGCGGGCCTGTAGGGTAGGTGGGCGCCGAGACGGGCGGCGCGATTAGAGGTACATCCCCGTTGCGTTCACGCTTGATGTTGCTATTGTCTATAGCAGGAGCGGCAGCAGGAGCGACGGGCGTTGGGTAAGCGTCAGGGATAGGCGCAGGATGAGGAGCGAGGTATGGCTTGACAGACTCGCGCGGTACCTCTGGTGAAAGACGTGCAGGAGGAGCTGCTACAGGGGCTGGAGGTGGCGGAGGTTCTGAAGGGCCACTGTCGGAGAGGAGGTTGGACATTGACATGGGGTTGGCAGAGCGGGCAGGAGGCTGTTCTGTATCAGCGCGTATCGCAGAGTTGGTGTATGGTTGTGTACTGACGTTGGGTGTCTCTGCAGGTGCGGCACTAGGGCGCGAGTGATAGTTTGGCGATGAAGGAGGGAGTGGGTGATGCATCGGAGTCAATGGAGGCAGCTGAGGGCCAGGATGTGAAGACTGGCTTGTGCCTCGCGGACGTCCAGGTGTGTCGTAGTGATAGCCGTTGCTCTCACGGTGTCTGTCGGCAGGATCTACGGCATGGTTCCGAGCNCTGTCTTGTGGTCAGCAGAGTGCATCAGCAAGATGATGTTGATGTAGACGAACGGGTATGGAATCAGACAAGGGATCGTAATAGCCAGATCGCTGGGCCGTAGGACTGGGATTCCGATGCATGGATGGTGAAGGGGGATGGCTGCGTTGGTGCTGAGGAGAGTATGGCGGCCTGCCTGAGCCTTGTGGATAGTCCTGCATTTTGTCGCAGCGACTGAAGCTTGAGCGAGACCGGCCGGCAGCACTTTGTTACGACGTGGAATTCGAATTGCGCGACAGCATGAATTAATGCAGGTGGATGGGCGACCACGTTGAGGAGTAGGGTCAGACGAAGTTAATTGGCGGCAAGAGATGGTGGTAGGCTCCGAAGGGGCGAATTCGCGTCGTGGTGTACCGGGTCTGCGGTAGCTCGGTACAAGACAGCGACGTGTGAGATGTGGAGAGCTGCGATGAGGATGGATGGATTATACAGATGGGCAGAAGGGGAGATGTGCATGTGTCGGTGTCACGCCTTCATCGGCCAGCGGAAGCCTCGCTTGGCTTGTTGGGCCTGTTCTGCTGCTTCATCGCTTGACACAGGCTTTCGAAATGAGTGCCCGGGTCAGGTTGCGTGGAGACGACTTCTGTTTGCACTTGCAGCTGGGTTCGTGTTGTGCCAAGACTGCTATATACATGTTTTATACTGGTGAGAGGAATATATATACATGAGTGGGCGCGGCCTATATTATTGCCCTCATCTCACTTGATTTGAAGGAGCGACTCACTCATGGCAGGCGGATTGCACGTCTTTGGCGTGGCCTCGCATCCACATCTTCTCAGCCCGACAGGCTCAAAGCGAAGCGCGATTCCGCGTCAAAACGGAAGTCGCTATCAAGACTTGGCGTCACCATCTGGACCCCTTTGCTCTTCGCTCCTGCCGCTGAATCGCGCCTCTCTGAACTTCAGCAATCTCGACCAGAAACACATTGAACAGCTGAGGTCGTCTTGCTCAACCTTTTATAATCCATACTCCCTGATTCAATTCGCAAGAAAGAAGTCTTTTGAGGTGAGCACAAACAGTTTCTCCGGGCAAGGAATGCGGAGAGCGAACTGTCCAAGCTTCCTCACCAAAATCAGATAAGATAACAGCCATCTCGAATTCCCCGGCAAAAAGTTTGGTCAAGGAAAAAGTAGTAGGCAGGCAGGTAGCGCCTTCTCACATACACACATCCACATACCACACCACCAAAATGGCATCCGTATACAAGTCGCTGTCAAAGTCAGATGCTCCCGCTTCCAAGGAGGATGCGCTGTCCACCGGCCCTAAGAACCGCCAAAGAGTGCTGATTTTGTCGTCGCGCGGCATCACCTACCGGTATGCGCATCGCAAAGAGATGAAAGGCGACAACCCAAACTGATCGCTTCATGATAGTCACCGCCACCTCCTCAACGACCTCTACTCTCTCCTCCCTCACAGTCGCAAAGACGCAAAACTAGACACAAAGACAAAACTCTACCAACTCAACGAGCTAGCCGACCTTTACAACTGCAACAATGTCTTTTTCTTTGAAGCCCGCAAAGGCAAGGATCTCTACATCTGGATGAGCAAACCCCCGAACGGGCCCACCGTAAAGTTCCACCTTCAGAACCTGCACACAATGGAAGAACTCCATTTCACTGGAAACTGCCTCAAGGGATCAAGACCGGTCTTGAGTTTCGACGCTACCTTTGAGAGCGCACCTCATCTCAAACTCATCAAGGAGCTCTTGACACAAACATTCGGTGTGCCCAAAGGAGCCAGAAAGACAAAGCCCTTTGTGGACCACGTAATGGCCTTCACAGTCGCAGACAACAAAGTCTGGACCCGCGTCTACCAGATCAACGAGACTGAAGCCGGCAAGACCTCCGCCATCCCCGAGCAAGGTCTCCCCATGCCTTCCGCCACCGAAGTCACCAGTTCAAAGGGCAAGAAGGACGCAGAGACCAAACTCAACTTGGTCGAGATCGGCCCTCGCTTCGTGCTTACACCCATCATCATCCAAGAAGGCAGTTTCGGCGGTCCCATCATCTACGAGAACAAGGAGTTCGTCTCGCCTAACCAGGTCAGACGTGAGGTCCGTGTCGCTCGCAGCGCCAAGTACAACAATCGCGCCGAAGCCGTCATTGAACGCAAGGCCAAGAAGGGAGATTTGGGTCTCACTACCTCTGGCGGCAAGACAAAGGAGGTTGACGAGCTGGACGAGAAGATGTTGTTCGCATAAGAATGTCTACAAGAAGTTTAGGGGGATCTGGCAAGAAGGAGAAAGGAACAATACTTTTCAAAGCATGCATGGCGTTGTGCAATTGGGACTACAAAATATGGCGTACTATGGTAGAGACTTGTTGTATAAGAGAGAGACTTCGATACCCCTTCTCTGGGGAATGGCAAAGAGTAGGCTGTCAAACAGCTTGTACCACAAACCTTTTGTGCTAAAATTATCCGTGATGAACGTTGTAGACCGAGAAGGTGACTCGACAGACGTTGGTAGACACTATCGAGGAGTAAAGCCACGTAAAATGCCTAGAGCAGAGGAAGTGATCTGAGTAAAGTTGGTGTATCATGATATGTTGCCCCTCTATTACAGGACAGAGACGGCAGGATAAAACAAAAAGTGTAGAAAAAAGAGAAGAAGGAAAGACAAAATTCCCTTCCAGCCAAACCGAACCCAACGCCTCTCTCAAAAGGAAACTCGAGAGCCAGTCGTGTTCCGATCAGGCCTCAATGTTTCGTGTGTTGTGTTCCCATCATTCTGGTATCCCCCCAAAGAAAAGACATTTGCGACATAAGAAAAAGGTGTGCGCCTGGACGCCAAGGCATCCATAGGCCACGAGAGATACGAAAAAAGAATTGTGTCCTTTTTGCCTCATTGGTATGCAGTGGCAAGGGATGAAACGCTAGAACAGCACTACGAATGCAGTAGGTGTTCAAGCATCCTCGGTCTTGGTCTCAGTGGTCTCCTCTTCGGGTTTCGAAGCGGCCGTCTTTGCGAACAGTGTGCGTGGCTTGACGGGGTTTNNCTGTGTTGGAGTTGTGTTAGCATCTTTGCTGGATGTCGCTGGCGTAGGGTATGGCAGGCGGGCAACTCACGACTTGTTCATCTGTCTTTGCTTGAAGCCCGAGAGTTTTTGACTGGCGGGGCTCATGATGGCGTCTGAGGGAGATACGTATGCGTTTGTGGGGTTGCTTCGGGTGAGCTCGTGTCAGCGCTTGCTTGTGGTATCGTATGTCTTGTAGTCGAGGACAGGGAGGGCTAAGGGTGGTGGTAGAAGGCGACTTACCCCNTCGTTCTCGCGCAACTTGTTCTCCATCATCTGACGGTGCACATTCATCTTCTCCTGCTTTGCGCCCGAGTTGGTGCTCTCGGCAGAGTTGAAAGGGTTGGAGGCCATTGTTGGAGGTTGTGCTGTGCGGTGTGTGGTTCGGAGAGTCGGAGAAGGGATCAATGCTTTGATGCTTGTTGCGTGCTTGGTTGGATAGGAGGCGATTGATATGTAGATTTGGTTACTGCTGTTTGGCTATAAGGCGGTGGATGAAGAGGGTGGGTTGTGTAGTAGAGTCGAGAAGACGATGTTCGAGGTGCGTTTTGCGGGTTGCGCTGCGAAAAGACATGACATCTTTTCCCCTCACAAAACTGCTTTGCGTTGCTGAAGCAACCACTTGCTGTCACCCTCCTACGCCTTGACTTAACATGTCATGCCATGCCTCTACCACTCTGGAGCAACCATAGGCTGATGAAGAGTGTTGCTCTATGGTTGTTCAGTCGACAGTGTTGCAGTCTTCGTGTCGCTTGATCTTCCCAAGTCGCAATCTCCAGTGAGCAGTTCACAACCAAACCACCTTACTGGGTACAGGTCGTTGTTCTTGAGAGTCGAGAGAGTCAAGAGTTTAGGTAAAGACAAGCGAATACAAGCGACTCAACTCGTATTGTCGTTATGGTCTTGCTGGAGTTTCCGTCAAACTCTTCCGTGAGAGCTCTGCTCAACGCCAATTGATGTAGGTAACCCTGTCCTTGCTCCTCCAATCCAAAACCTTGCAACGCACCTCCCGCCAACCATAAGAATGTCACACACCAGCCATCCACACCGGCTAGATAGTTTTGAAAGAGAAGAAGCTATGTACCCAACACTGTTGACCACAGAAAAGTTCCAGCTTGTCGTTGTTCTGTTTGCAAGAACCAGGCTTGCGGACATCCTTGTCACATCAATCTCTCGGATCCTTGAAGGTCTTGAACTTTTCGATATTCAATCTATATAGAGTGTTGCATGGGATATGTCTCAGGCGATTGATTACTGTTGTCAGATTCCACTTTGGCAAAACTTGCAGCCTGAGGTCCACCCGTCGCATACCATGCCCTGATCACACTTCCAACCTCGCTTGGCTCCTTCGGATCACCAAGTTCCTGAGCCGTCTTTACATTGCTCTCTTCGCATTCAATCGCTGATTTATTCCCATGACAACCTCCAAGATGCCAATATATCCAGACCAGACTCGGCGATTTCCTACAAGACTTGGAGCCGCCCAGTCGCTCAAACACAAAGACGTCTATATCGATTCGTGCCGCCCATCGCTGTTGAAGGTACGAGATCGTCCTTTGGATGCTTTCACTCGACACGGTAGAGATGGAGCTCCCTCCGCATCATCTAAACTCAATTGAATTACGAGTTGATATGCCCTATCTTCCCGATCTTGAACGATCTTTCATCTCCGTTACGGCCTTAATACTGCCACTTGACATTGTGAACTGAATATTGTGGAATGTACTTGACTATTAGGGACAAGAAGCCTGGTAGAGAGCCCCCCTTCGCTTAGCAGACCTATATGAAAGGAAGGCTTCTGTCATGCATCTAAAAACACGTGGAAGCTCCAAAGTCTAAACCTCAAGCAGACCGCAAAGAACAGATCCTATCACCCTATTACGCTGCTAATCAGTATCTCGAAACGAAGGAGGTGCGGTACAGCGCAGGCTTCATCTTGACAAAGCAGACAAAGATCACGGTGATCTGATCTACGATCGTTCACATAGGATCAGCAAGAGATGCTCTCCACACCTCTTCCTGTCAAGACATGTCTCGACCCAATTGCATTCGATTGTTGTATACCGTTGATGCGGTAGAAAGGATCCCACAATTGCCGCCGTACCGTTAACGATTGCGCCATGGCCCATCTTGAGCGAGATCTAGAGGTCTCCTGCGATCTTCGACCGTTATAGGCGGGCGAGCGCGACTCTCAAGACCGTTTGATACGTGCGCAGAAGTTCGGAGGTGGAGAAAACACTTCAGTACGTGAGGGTTGCGAGAAGGATAAGCTGACGACTTTATGACCGACAAATCCATCAGATCGTCTCTTGTCTCATAGATAAGGAAGTACGATTCTTCCTGATCGAAGATTCCAACCATGCGGAACACGCAATCTTGACATGTGCATGTCGACAAGGATTGCAAGTGTTGAATCTGCGATCGCATGCGATAGAGCAGTTGGTTGGGAGAGACTGCACTTTGTATGCAGAGGAGTCCACGCGTTCAACCCAGCGACAGGAGGATGACCATCGCTGCTTCATTCAACCGCCTTGCCGATATCAATGCAGCCTTACCAGTCCGAGGCAAACAGTGCAGCGCTCCTCGCTGCGGGGTCTTGAATCAAGTCAAGCACAGCAGCCCGACGCGAGCCGTCTCTGCACTCTGCTTCTTAGCAACTTCGCGCTTGCCCTACCAGTGACGTATTCAAATCCCGAGCTCAGCCGTCCTCCATCTTGCTCGACACACCGGTTCCGCGAGAGACCAGCGGTTCTCTCAAGTGAGTCGTGCTCTCTGCTTGCTCTTTCGGCTTCTCTCCTCTCCCCTTTCTGCTCATGCCGATGGTCCCTGATCTACAGAGACGGCGTGCCCGGTCCCTAGACCCATCCACTAAACTCACGAACCAGAGCCAAGTTTACGCGGCACCCGGCTGTGTCTGCAAACTTCTTCATCTTGGAATGATGGATGCAGATCTCCTGTCCTGGAACACACACACGGTTACATACCATCATGTCGAGTCATGCAAAGACATCTCCTTGATTCACGAAGGTTAAGTGACCAGCTGCAAAGGGCAACAAGACTGCGATATCAGATCCTGCGCCATCTGCGATTCGACATGTACAAGCAAAACTCTCTTTTCTGTCTTCTGACATTTGGATTTCGAAAGGAGCCAAGAAAGAGGAGAGAGAGAGGTGAGAAAGTCAATCGCTCTACCTTTCATTCCCCTCACTGTTATTCGCGAGCCTAGCTATCTCGTCCGTATCCACTGCCGACCAGGTGATGTAGGTCCTTTCTCGGCCGGGTTTGCTTTCAATTTATTGGAGTTTTGGGAAGAGCCTTGGTTCATTGGGGGCATATTGCAATATCCTCAAAGGACCACTTACATCATTCTCATCGCTGATGACAGCATGCGATGGGAGCATGGTGCAACAAACAATCAACACCGCTTGCGCGCAAACCAAGGCACGCATCAGATTCTCCATTTCTCGTGTTTATCAAACAGCACAACATGACGGGAATAGGAAGGTGAGTTTTGTCGTCTTTGAAACCGCGGTTTTTGTTCATCACCAGGTCAAACACGCACGCGCACACGCAAAGACCGCACATCTCAATTGCTTCCTTGCGACCGGACGTACCCCGTCCCAGAAAGAGATCATCGCGATGGCCGGTCTCGATGCACTTTCGGGGTCCACTCCGTCGATGCACTTCCCAAGCCACCCCCACAAACCCAACCACTGTCTTTGACCAGCAATCGAGTCAAGTCAAGTCCAACGACTCAGTCTCGCATGGCCACCAAATCTCCCAGAAAACCATCACAGCCTGAATCGAGCAGAGAAGGAAATAGGTACCCATGTACCTTTTTTCGCCCAGAGAAAATGTGTCCGGTACATGTACCATTTAGAGGCAAGCCTCCCAAAGAAAAAACACGCTACAGGCACACCAGCCCTAAAATGGTTGCAACGTCACTGCATCGACTGGCTTGCAGAAGCCTGGCAGAAGTTCGAAGCTCTTTCGGAAAATCCAGCGCTAACCACCAACCACTGCGCCCATCGGAAATTCGCTCGTACCACGCAGTTTTTGCTACATGCATTGGCAAGCGGAAATTGGGAGACGGCAGAATGAGGTAAGCCCGTGTGGAAACAGACTTGGGAATTGTTGCATGTAGAGTGGTGTCAAGCTACATGTTTCAGGGCCACATATCTGCAATTATGACATGATCAAAGTAGTTGTAAAGAGACTCCACAAACGAGCAGCAGATTCAGGGAATCATAGGTTTATAAAAATAAAGTGTGGCAGTAACCTTTTGAGAAGGATCAAGATGCTTTGAGGGATAACTAGTCATACAAATTCGCCGCTCCCATGAGGAGGATCGTCAGGATATCAACATGTGTACAAGAAAGTAAAAACAGAAAACCAAACTCGCTCAAAACTGATGGCAACAAGGACAAAACAGGTCAATCTAAAAAGACTCCCGCCCTAAAAGCGCTCCAAGAAAAGGACTGAAAAGGGACAAGAGATCTATAGCACCTTGTTACGCCGTTGCCAAACAAAGAAAAAAAACGAGAAAAAATCCGATCTGGGGGTCGCAATCGTGATGAAACAAAACCGCTAGATAGGAAACAAAAATCGATATTCGTAAAACGTCGTGCTGGGTGTTGGGTAGGAATGGAAGGATTATCATTGTCTCGCGCCGTTTGCTTGCGGCTCACGCGCAGCTCAGAAGGATGCGCGATGCTCCTGCGGAACCGTGTAGACGGGCGAGCTGAATGTTGGTTGCTCGGGCATTGACGATGGGACACTCATGTTCAGGTGCTCCATACCGTTTGCCATGCTGTATCCGCTTGATACAGAGCTGACACTGGCGTAACTGTTGCGTCTGTTGTCGAGGTCTTCGTTCTCGTACTTGAGACCGAGGTTGGTGGTGCTGATGCGGCGGTCCTTGCCTCTGCCTTTGATACCCTTGTTGCAGTTCTTGTAGAGGCTGGTAAAGTACTCCCACATGACCTTCTCCCACGAGCTGACGTGGTCGCCCTCGTGCAAGTTCTCAAATGTCTGGCGGAGTCTGCGAATGGTTTCTTGGTGGAACTTGTTCTGGTGACTCTTCAGGTTGCCAAGTTGAGTAAATTGCTTGTTGCACTCGTCAAGACGGCATGTGAAAGGCTTTGCTGCTGTGTGGACAATCTTGTGTGCTCTGACGTTGCCGCGCTGAGCAAAGGTCTTGCCGCAGAGCTCGCAGCTATATGGGCGCTCGCCAGTGTGACGACGCTCATGTGTTTTGAGGTTTCCGAGTTGTGAGAAACGCTGACCACAACTGGCCTCTTTGCAAACAAACGGTTTGACGCCGGTGTGTGCACGTGTGTGAATCTCAAGATGTG